TTTATCAAGTTTGCTCATATTAATTTGATTGGCCCCTTTTAGGGGTCACTATGGCTTAAAATAGAAAACCTTTAGACATTTTCTTCTACAGAACCAATTGATGGATGATCACCAAACTTTGTCTGTAGCATTCTTGGGTAGTCTTTAATCAAGTTTGCTCATATTAGTTTGATTGGTCCTGTTAAACCTAAAGCTTAAATGCACTAGCGTTTCTTTAAATTAAAGTTTAAAGATATTCTAAGCTCTAATTTTAATATAAAAAAAATATTGACAATGGATACACAGTCTCCTTATAAATATAAATATGAAATATACGTGTTTTGACTTCACACAAAGTAGATATGTTATGTTTTAAACTCTTAACACTATTCGTGGTCACAGTATAAATATAATGATAGTGTCATTACAAAAACTTTTTTTTTCTTTTTCTTTTATAGAAAAGACCATCTTTACATTGCCTCTAATAGCATATGCAGTTTCCTGTACATAGTATATTCATTCTTTTATCCAAATAAGACATTTTCAGCAAGAATTTCATAAATTTCATTGGCTTGGGTCATGACCTGTTTATGATGTGTAAATATATTTCAGCTTTGGAATTCGGACTACTGCATCATTGTAAGGTCAGTTGTAGGTCATTAACCAGGAAAAAAATAGGCCTAAAGAAACATAAAATTTGTTTCTCCTGTACTTTACTATCAAAGATGAGTTTATCTGCTCAATTCTCTTATTGAATTTTGTAAAAAATTGTAATTTTTTCATTTTTTGTTGTTGAATTAACAAGGGACAAGGGGTTTAATTTCTGTTTCTGAATTGAATTTTGCTATGAACTGGCTTACTTTTGATATATTTGATATCGCTTTACCTACTTTTTTGTCTTTTATGTACAGACTTGAAATTTGGACTATGGGTGTAATTTGTGTAATTTTTGATGTTGAATTCAATTTTGATACCAGTTGACCTACTTTAGGTATTACTGACATCATTTGACCTACTGTCTTGTATTTTGACATTCAGATTTTAAATGTTGACCAGGTTTGTAAATTCTGATGTCGAAATGAATTTTGATATCAACTGACCTACTTTTGATATTTTTGATATAATTTGACTTTCATTCTTGTGTTCTTGACATACAGACTTGAAATTTGGACTAGGGGTGTAATTTCTGATGCTGAATTGAATTTTGATATAAACTGGCCTACTTTTCATATGTTTTACAATGTTTGACCTATTGCCTTTTTTTGAGGTACAGTTATGTTACCATACAGAATGTATAAAAAAAATTGTCCCAAACCGTGAACTTCAAACAACTACACCTTACATGTTTTGCATGTGACATTTTGTGTTTTCATTCAAAAAAAGTTTTTAGAAATTGTCCAATCAAAATTAATCCTGCTCTAGTGGTCAGTTGTTCTGCATTTATTCTACATAGTCTCATAGGAACACACTTGCAACATACATATTTTAACAAATCCTTTCCAAAATATAAGGGCAAAATATTACAATTTTTATAGTGAATAATGAAATGATGGGTTAGATGAGTCATCTAGGGCCACTTAGTGGTCCTATTGTTTATTATGAAGAAAAAAAGCTAAAACAATCAGTGTTGTGAAAGTATATTACTAAAGGGGCAAGTTAAAGTTGATCGAGCTGAACTGCCGAAAGAGCTGGACTTGCCTTTCAGCAAGTTCTTTTGAAAATTAATTTCCAACACTGAAAAACAGTTGTTTCTGGTGAGCGACTCAGGGCCATCATGGCCCTCTTGTTTAATAATTTCATTTTTCTTGCGCAATTCTCTAAAATGAGACTTGGTTTTTCTATATGCGTTTCACAATTAACATTCACCATACCAGGTTGTAAAATAACTTAATTTGGTCCTTAAATCAGTTTTTACCACAACATCAAACTTCATTCAGAATTCATGTCACGTTATTGTGAGCAAAATTCTGAGTTTCCTTTAGATATGAACAAGAAAATGTTTATTACCCCCCGCCGAAAAGACGGATATAGAATTAGTCTCCATCCGTCCGTCTGTCCTTCCGTCCGTCACTCTACATTTTTGTCCGGAGCATATCTCAAAAAGTATCAATTTGAAACTTCATAGGTGGAGGTATCAACTTGAAACTTCATTTGTGGATAAATCATATTTAGGAAAAGTGCAGTGCACAAGAATGATAACTCTACGCTGCATATTTATTTCATTGTTGCCCTTTGTTATTCTTCAAACTCAATTTTTGTCCACAGCAAAAAGCCTTTGAGATATCAACATGAAACTTCATGTGGATAGATCTCACTCAGGAGGTGTGCAATGGAAGAGTGATAACTGTACCATTTCTAAATTTTGAGTTATTGCTCTTTGTTATTTTTCATACTTAATTTTTCACCCGAGTGGAGCATAAATTAACTAAAAAAACAAACTTTGAGATGTCAATGCAATCTTCATAGGTAGATAGATCTTTTTGAGGATGAATGTTGTGCGAAAGAATGATAACTCTAACCTTTATAATTTTTGAGTTATTGACATTTGTTATTTTCTTACTTTTTGTCCGGAGAATATCTAAAAAAGTGGTAGAGGTAACAACTTGAAACTTCATAGGTGGATAGCTCTTTTTGATGAGAAGTGCAGCACACTAGAATGATAACTAACCGTGCATTATTTTTCAGTTATTGCCCTTTGTTATTTTTCATACTTAATTTTGTCCAGGGTATAACTACAAAAGCCTTTGAGATATCTACATGAACCTTCAAAGGTGGACAGATCTCACTCAGCAGATATGAAGTGCAAAAGAGTGATAACTCTACCCTTCATAATTTTGAGTTATTGCCCTTTGTTATTTTTCATACTTAATTTTGTCCATAGCATAACTACAAAGGCCTTTGAGATATCAACATGAACCTTCATAGGTGGATAAATCTCACTCGAGAGGTATGCAGTACATAAGAATGATAATTATTCTGCTCTACTACATATAAACATGGCTCTTGTAACAAGTTACATGATTATGATATTTTAAAACCTTCTGAACAAGTTAACATGTCAATTCAAAACAATGCTATTTGGAGATACCTTATCAATATATTTAACTGGGTTTTTTTTTCGTTTTTTTTTTGTGTGGGGGTTGGTTTTTTTTGTTGTTGTTTTTCGCCGTGACAATCATATTGCTGCATTTCCCAGCAATTTTTTACTTGTTTAAATTCCTGTGCCTGGGCATTTCTTGATTGTGTCATGCATATAAATTACACATTTCATGTGTAATGCAATTCAACTGAGATTTTGTGCTACACATGGCATAATGGCTTGCAACAATAATCATCTATTTTTTTGCTAGCACGCAAGTCTTGAGCATCTTTGGTTGAAGTGTATGTTATTGCACTGTAACAAGGACGTCATCACACTTTTTGTACTTGATCTCACCAAAAACTTGTCATCGCAAATAGTATGAAAAGGTGCATTGTCTATCACCACGACACAGTGTGCTGGAAGATTGGGGATTAGCTTTTGATAAAGCCACTTAGTGTAAATCTCACCATTTCTCCGTGGTAATCACCGATTGTGGTACTCGCTTGGCACCGGAGATGAACTTGCTAAAACCAGCGCGACTGAGGTAGCCACAGATGTTGAAGACATTGTATTAATTGCTGAATTATTAAATATACCATTAGCATTTTCGTGAATAAAATATATTCAAAAATAATGAATCAAAAAATAAAAAGGTCCATCAAAAGTATTACTCCTTGTCGGATTTGAACTTGACAATTAACCTTCTGCATGCTACAGAAGTACCATAACCACTACACTAACTGAACAGGTAATATTTCAATTGGTATTCCAGTGGTGCGTTTTCGTATATTAATTCTTTCTGCCACCCCTGTGTATTTTTAAATTTAAAATTTCCCATTCTCGTTCATATTTGAAACAACCTACATGCAATGATTCCTATGCAAGTCTATATACGGTAAATAAATAAGCCCGCACCTGTGTTTTGCACACCGTCTCTCAAGTACTATTTCTGCTAAAATTTCTTATTGGTTCAAAAGATAGAGCGGACACAAATTTTGATACAAAATGATCAAGTGTGACCTTGACCTGAGAAAGGTCAAATATGCGCTGGGCGCATCATGTCATGGTTAACATTTCTGCAACGTAGTTTCAATTTCTTTTTACCAGTTCAAAAATAACAGATCGGACAGGAAAGCTTCTTTGTATTTTGTTAGTCTATATAAATCAAGCAAGCGCTAGGGAAGCCCGAATATGTGTTCTGCTCACCATCTCAGTGATAATTCTGCCAAAAAATTAATTTCTTTCTAGTGGTTCAAAATAAAGATCAAACAGGTAATTTTTAAATTGTTACAAAATGACTAATGTCAAACCTGCGCTCTGCACAATTTCTCATGGTTAACATTTCATCCTAGTAGTTTTTTTGGAAGGAAATTGAGACTGGTCACAAAAACTTATTACAGATTGATGGACGGGCTACCTGGTGCATAGCATATGCCCTTTTTTTTCAAGCATCATTTTTTGGCATCGAGATTCTTATTATTCTTGAACAAAAAATGCACCGGGACTGGAATGTTTATTTTTTTTATCCTATTTGACTCAAAGCTAGTTCGACAGGGCAGTTTTGACTTGGGTTGAAGAAGATGCATATACAATGTTCTATAAATACGGAGTCCCATATTAAATGATTTAATTTTGGTTGGGTTTCACGTTACACAGTATAGGTCATATTGCGACAGTTCAGCTGTACTGGTGCAAGAATGGTGCACCTATACATGTACATCCGTTCAGGCACAAACAGGCAACAGAGTAAAACCACCGACATTCTGCAAGCTAGCTGGATAGCTTTCTACTATGTAGAATCTTTCAATTTCACAGCTGCAACCTACAGCAGTGAGAGGGAAGTGATTTGGAGTAAATAAGCCAAGGAATCCCTCTCCAGATACTAAATACAACCCATTGCTATTTGTTTTCCAATTATAAACACAGATGAAAAACTACATTATTTTTTCTACATACCGTTTTATTTTTTTTATCAATTAATTGAAAACAATAAATGTGAAATGCATTTACAGAGATGATACATAATAATGACATAAAATTTGATTTTCTAAATTTCCTTAGATGACACAACTATGTAAAAGTGATCAAGTAAAACACTTTGTTTTATAAAACACTTATAAAACCAATATAACTTTAAATAAAATATATTGCTGCGACAAAAATGCTGCTCAAAAGCAATCTTTCATTTAACATGATCCAGCTTAGTAAACATTACATGCAACATTTATGATGAAAATGTTTTTTTCCAAACTTTGTGATCTGTAATAGTTGATTCACATAACATAAAAGTTGATTCACATAACGTACATATAATCTAAACAATATGACTGAACATTAATCTCAGTATCTTCTAATGTTGGGTCCTAAAGCTTTGTATGCATCAAATCTTTGATCCTGTTGCCTATTTTGACCTTGAAGGGTTGGAGCAGCCATCATGAGAGCTCCTGGAGCCATTGATGTTGTAACATACATTCCAGTAGGTACATTAGCTAAGATTCCTGGCGGTGCACCAACAGTCTGATAAGCTATTGGTCTAGCTTCTTGCTGTACAATGGAATTCCCTGCCCATCTATCTGGTTGTCTGTTCACTGTAGTATTATCTGTTCTTTGTGAACCTGAGCCCCAATTACCTTGACTACCCTGTTGGGCAGAACCTGAAACCATAAAATTAACACTTTTATTGTTTTCATCATTGTACAATGTAATTCTCTTTATAGAATATAGAAAATCTGTATTTTCATCTGAAAGAAAATAAATGTTTTACAGCTGATATTAAAGTTCTGGAGATAAATTACCTTTCAATATCCCTCCTGCCTGATTCCTTGAGAAGTTCTTGCTGGCACTGTCTCTACTCCTGTCCTGTATGCCCTGACTGCCCCCACTCCTGCCCTGGCCCTGCCAGTTACTGCCCCGCCCTGACTGTGAGAGGGAGCCACCTGTGCCCCGTACATCTTGTTGCGACCCACGATTATCTTTGAAAAATGAAAAATTCTCTACAAGTTTTTACAACAGAAATTTTAGAAATTTACAACATTTTTATTATTGGCTTTCAAAATAGAGACTATTTATGCAAGCTTTTAATATACATTATGGGTACACTAATTCCAAACTTCTGTATGATTACGCTGTTAAAGTATTGTTTTGTTGATTTTTTTGTCTATGAATATTCTTTGGCAAGTGTAAATATGATTTGCTATTTTCTCTTTAAAATATGAATTAAAGCCATGCATATTAAGCTATGTAGCTTTATATATCAAAGGTGCAGTCTTGTTTTGTTACAATTTATGGATAACATACCAGAACAGGCTTTGTTACAATTAACTATATACATTCACCATTCACCTTATCCCATAACATTATTATCCATATTGTACCCTGCACCAAGCAACTAAAATACAAATCTACTTACAGAAGTTTTCATGGAACCTGGAGAATGCAAAACAAAATGTGCACTACTTAACACCTTAGAAAAAGTATTAAAATGAATAGAAATTCAGTTTGTAAACTAACAAAATGCAAACCCCAAGTTCCATACAAACACAAATAGAACTGATGTTCAGCTTCTTAAAATTTTAGATTTGAGCACATGTATTGAATAATATATATATTCTATAAGCTAAGTCAATGCATTACAACCTTGAACAGTAAGATATACTCAAAATACCTTTTGTACCCACTAGTAACAGATGTGCAAAAACCAGAGAGTGTTCAGTAAATAAATACAAAAAAAATACAAGTAAAATGCAAATATTTCCCAAATATTGGAACTGCAGTCATATCAGCAAAGTAAAAGTTTCAAAGTGAGCTAAAATATATAGTTTTATGATGATTTTTATGTTAAATGGTTATTTGGTTTTTCAATGATGTCATGTTGAGATAAATATTTTTTCCAAAACAACAGCAATGCTCAAGTTAGAGCTGTAATTGATCATCATAAACAAATATGACAACTGATTGACTGCAGCAGAACAATGCTATATCAATACAATACAACAAGCCTACAACAGTGTGGCGTAGAAGAACCTACCTCTATGGTCTCTGGAGCCAATGATAGTTTGATCTTTATCTGAGCGAAAATCAGATCTGTTATCTCTAGATCCAAGATTCTGTCTACCTGACCTGTCACCACCCCGGTTATCTATACCTCTATCTCTTATATCTCTCTGGTTAGAATCTCTATAACCCGAGCCTCCAACGTCCCTTCTCTCATCTCTACCTGGACCCCGGTCTGCTGAACGATCAACTGCTCTATCATTACGTGCTGCTGGTGCCCGATCTACTCTATCATTACCACGGTCACGACCACCTGCCATGTTCCTAATGACCAAAAAAAATAAAATGTTTAAGTAACTGTGGTCTCTGATACGGAAATAAAGAAAACCAAAAGAAAATATAACTTGCTTTGGGAACAAGTGATATTCTTTGCTGGCAGCAGATTTAAATTAAAACTTGCGATGGCAATAAGTAACCAGTTAAGCAAGCATTCAATCAAACATAAAAGTATTGTATTTGATAAAGGTTTGTTTCTAGAAAGTTTGATAGAAACAAAAGATGATGGAAAAAGCTTGATTGTTTCTCGATATAAAGAAATTACCAAGTACTCGAGTACTGAAATCAGTACACATTGCCAACTCTAATAGAAATTAATCTTTTTTAATCATAGTGAAGTAAATCTATAATCTAATTTATGGACCAACTGTATAAATTCATAATTTCATATGACAGTGTATAGAAGACAAGTGTAGTTTTACCTCTGATCTCTGCCTCCTCTATCATTTATTCCTGTGTTATTTCTATCATCTCTACGTCCTCCGAGATCTCTCATATCTCTCCTATCATCGATTCTCCCAGCACGTGCTCCACCAATATCTCCTCTTGTATCTATACCTCGTCTATCACCGCGGTCAAATCTATCTACTACTCTTCTACTGTCTGCCATGTTGTCTTGTTGAGTAACTCTCTCTACATACCTGCCACCTCCGCCAACATCTCTAGCATTACGATCAACACGATCTCTGTCAATTCTTTAAAATATATGTCAAACTCTTTGTACTATATATTTTTTGGACAGAAAGGGTTAATGAAAGATAAAATTCATTTTCTAATTGTCTGCCCATACTGAAGAATTGGGCTTTAAAGATAATTCTCTTATAATTCATTTAATAATGTGAGAGACAGTGCCTCTATGAGAAGAACAAATGTGACAAGTTATCAAAATACTTTTCCACTAACTAGTGCATATGTACATGGAATAAAGTGTGAAATAGACCTTCATTGTTCCAAATTATTTAGGATTCAATTAATGTGTGAGAATAACAGTAAGTCTGGATATTTGAGAATATAACTGTTTAAAGATTATAAATACTTTTTTTTAATTTGTGACCCAGGTCTATGAGGAAAGGATGCGAGTCTTACATACAATACATTATTTTAATATAGACAGCAGTTGGTCCAGTTAGAGATGCCATAAAGAATTACTGTCCAGACACAATATCTGAATATATACAAATTTTCATTGACCATAATAATTGATGTAGGGATGAGCTCATTTTTTTGCCATGTTATATGAATAAACTCTTTATGCCTGAAATGTTACAGCTTTAACAAGAATAAGAAAGCATGTTATACTGATAATGATTTTTATATGCCATTTTAAGGGCGTAATTTTTTACATTTTCATTTGATAATTTCTACTAACCTATCACCATAGCCCCTGTCAGCTAAGGCAGGTCTCTTTGAGTCCCAGTAAGCATCTCTATCACGAGCATCATATGCTCTCTTTGTTGCTCTACGTTGTTGCTCCTCCTGAAGTCTGTATTTATTCAAAAGAAAAATTTTTCATTTAGAACTAGAAATTAGTTTTAAGAATTAGCTTGCCAAGGGTGAATTTTTCAATGTAACACTTTTGTTTAAAAAGGTTTTTTTTTTTTCAAGGTCATATGGTGACTTTCCAGCTGTACTGGTGGAGGAAAATCGTTTGACCCCTATGTGCACTGGACAACGAAGTAGAATAACTTGACCGTCGGTAACTCAATTAGATAGGTTTCTCACATATAAAATAATCCAAATATTTACTTTTAACAGCAGCTCATGCCAAATGATTCAAAAACCTTTAACACTCTGCCACAAACATTTCCCTGATCATAAATAAATCATGATGCAAACAGAACTGTTAAAATCAAACAGGTTTATTATTTCTTTCCAAAAAAATTCTATCAAAATATTTTTGTGGTAATATTTGTACTATGAGTATCATTTAGAAGAAATAGGATATGCACATGAATTTTTTTTAAATCTTCCGGAGATTTAGATTTTTTTTCCATACAAAATGATGATAATGTACCAACGAAAAAAAAATCCAGTGTGTCTTACCTTAACTGTTCTAAACGTCTCTTCTCTTCCCTTTCTCTCTCCAATCTTTCTCGCTCAATCTGTTCAAGCCTTAATCGTTCTAATCTCTGTGCTTCTAAACGTTCCTTCTCCAGAAGTTCTCTTTCCCTCCTGAAACATAATTTCTTGTTATTTTCTTCTAACTTTATTTGCTAGTGCCTAAATCTTTCCAAAAATCAATATTTGTAAATTGTCACAGAACCAGGTTTTCCACCAAAAATAAGTAAAGTCCATTGAGAAAATTAGGCCACTTTGAACAGAAACTATTCCTCTATTATCTCCATATGGAAACACAACAAAGGGCTGTAATTACCCAAAAATAAATTGCAAAACCCTGACATATGCACCAGGGCAGCGTTTTACCAACATTGCGTAAGTTTTTCGTAAGTATTTTCGTAACTTTACGCTTACGTTTAAACTTACGGAAATCGTAAGCGTGTTTCACAAAACGTTCGTAAGTTTCTTCTTAAACTTACGTTAAAAAAGTGCGTAACTCTTCAAAGAAGGTTTTCAGAATAAGTCAATAAGGAGGCGTTTTAGTAATATTTAATGACCGCAAACATTTATGAAAAAGGCTAAACTGGTAATTCGTAGAGTCATCTACGGATACTCATGAATGTTGCTGAGCAATTCGTATTTTAAGTGCATATTGTGCCACACACAGGGGTTTCTCCTGATTTTAAATAAATACATTTATAACGTAGAAAGGAAAACCCCATATGATCTATCATGGAAGATATTGAAAGGGTTTTTGTTTGTTTTGAGAAGTGAAAAAACTGTAATGTCCGCAAGTGAAAATGTGGTTTTTTTCTCATTTCTAAATGAAATATTTAGCTTATTCACATAACCCACATTTTTAAAAAAAATATTTTTGTTTCTATTTATTTATTTATATTTTATTCATTTATTTATTTTATGTCTATCAAGTAAAGATAACCCTTTGATTTTTAAAGATTTTACACTAAAACATGCGGAAAACATGCTTTAAAAAAGATGAAACAAAAACGCAACATGCAAACACAAGATATTCACAATTTTATCTTAGTGAAGTAATGCTTTCTGAATATTTGCAAATAAAAGGGCGGTATGGAATACCAGTATATTTTTGGAGAAGAATATATTAATTAAAAGACCTTAAGCTGATAGAACGACTACCATATTCGTATATATGTTTTTACTACATATAATTTTTAATAACTCCTTAAAGCTACATTATCCTTTCCTTACTTAGACTTTACTTTTCTAGAGCTGTTTTCACCATTAAAATATATTACCAATCACATCCGTCTCTAAAATTCTCAATTTTCTGCTCTGCCATTATTCATAGATGATGTCAGTCTTACTTACGTAAATTTTAAGTCAACAAATTTTAAGCGTAACTTTACGTAAAAACTTACGAAATTCTTACTTACGCAAATTTTTAGTAAAACACCTTTAGGTAAAAAATAAGACGTAAGTTAAAACTTACGCAAATCTTAGGCGTAAGTTCGTTAGTAAAACGCTGCCCGGGGCACTTTGTGACAGATCTGACATCTGTTGAGACATGTGAGAGTTGCATACACCTGCCTTTTCCCCCCACAAAAAACATGGCTAAAAATCACATTTAAATTTTAACTCACACCAACCAGCTTACAAGCAAATAAACACAATGCTCTATACTACTGAGCTTATTAATTAAATTCCCCTAATGAAGTTGCCAGGGTTATTTTCATAATCAAACATATAGTGACACATATGCACTCTATATAGTCTAACCTTAATCTTTCTCTTTCCCTGCTAAGCTTTATTGCTTCACTTCTTTGTTTCTGTTGAACCTCCCTCTGTCTCTGTCTCTCACGCAACAATTCACGCTGACGTCGCCTTTCCTGATCTTTAATACGTCTTTCAATTTGACGTAATCTCTCACGCTCTCTGGCTTCCTGTTAAACAATGATAATACATAACTTTTAAAGATATATAACTTTGTTCTGTTCAAATTAAGACCACTCTTTAAATCTCTGTAATTATAATTCTACTTGTTACGTGTTATATTCTTGTAATTTCAGCAAAATCATATTGTGAAGAATTTAATACAATGTATACTTTATTTACCTTTATTCTATCAAGAGTAACAACATCTTTTTTATCATCTTTCTTTGATGAAGTTCCACGAGATCTAGAGCGATGTTTATCACTTTTCTCAGACTTTGCTCTGTCTTTTTCTTTTGTATCATCTTTCTTTTCTTCACCAGCTGTCTCTGAATATATTTACAGTAAAGCGTCAAGCATAATATAATCAAAAACATCCCTTTATGCATTTTATTACAATATGTTTCAATCTGTTTGTTTTTATAAGAAATCTTCATTTACTGTGCAAACAAACTACTACATTTTTAGGTGTTCTCGTCTTCTAGATATAACTCCTAGACAAAAAAATCCATCTATTACACAAAGGAAAAATCAAAGAATACCTGCAGCAGGCTTTGAATCATCTCCCTCTTTTTTGACATCTTCTTTGATTTCTTCTTTTTTAATTTGATCTTCAGCTTGGATTTCTCCATCTTTCTTTTCCTCTCCTTGTACACTGATCACAGGTTCACCCTTACTTTTATCCATCACCACTGTGCGAGATTTATCCTTACCATCTTTGTCACTTGTAGCAACATCTATAAATACAAATTTACCTATTATCTGAATGTTATATTAAACTTAATCACTTAATTGCCTGAACCAGTAAACTCTCTGGCTAATCTTACTTGATAACCAATTTGAGAAAATGGGGAGATGACAGCAAGCAACAAACTTTAAAGTAGCATTCACAACTTATAAAAAGACATAGAGACCTTTCCCATGTAACTGAAATTCACACTTGCTCTGGTACATTCACTTCAAGGCTAGTGAATATTTCACTACTATATATGCCAGCTAGTTAGAAACTTTAGGCTTTACACTTAGGCTTGTGAATTTGAATGAATGCAAATTGGAAGTTAATAAACATTACTTTCTTTCTCTCAAATGACCTAATCTTCATCCTTTATTCATGACTTAAAAAAACTATAGATGAAGATATTAATAAAGCTTTTATATAACAACTAACCTTTCTTATCTGATGATTTCCGATGTTCTCGATTATCCCGATGTCTGTGAGGGGGTGACCTACGTGAGCCACGCCTATAATCATGCCTGCCACTGTAACGACCATGTCCCCTGTCCCTGTCACGACCATGATCATGGCGATCTCTACCATGATGAGAATGTGGGCTATGATGAGAATCTTTACGATCATCTTTCTTCTCGTCTTTTTTATCAACATCTTTCTTATCTTTACTGTCATCTTTCTTATCTGTATCTGTTTTTCCTGTCAATTAATCAACAACCTATGTTTTAGCTACTGATTTCAATAAGCATAGAATATAAAATCATTAATCATTCTACAGATCAAGCAATACATAATCATTTTATAACTGAGTAGCACAGTTTCTTTAACAATATAACTTATATTTACTTAGACCTTCATATTCCTGGTAAAGTTTAGTTTTCTTACATAATTTAAAGAATTAGAAAATTACCCCCAAAAATTTCAAAACACAGAATAGTAATTTAATCATTTCTTTAAAAAAATATGTTCCTCACCTTCTTCCTTTTTGACAGGTGTTGTAGTTTTCTGCTCAGTCTTTTTCTGTTCAGGTTTTTTGCTTGTTTGTTGACTTTTAGCAGCAGATCCTGGTTCATTCTTAGCCTAGAAAAAAGTAAACAACTCGGTTAAACCAAATCTAACATTTTTTAATTTGTTATCCAAAGAAAGACCATTACCATTAACAATAACATAAAAAATAAATAAAAATCAAGCCAGTCTACTTTTTAACTAAAAGAAATACTTTAAGCTCTATGAAAAAAATATCACAAAACTATCTACATAAATAATCATTTGATGATACAAACCTTTTCCACTGAGATCATTTTCCCATGAAGTTCTGTTCTATGTAACTGTTGAATACATTTGGCTGCTTCCTCAGCTGAGGACATTGTCACAAAACCGTAACATCGTGATCCTGGCTTACGTGCATTTGTTACCACCTTTGCTCCTACAACCTAAATGATCCAGGGAATACTTTTTACATTTATAGCTTTTATCAACGGTGAACCAAAGTAAGTTCAAGCTTAAAGAGTAATGCATGTGATATACATATTTTTATCTTTAGTGTATAATTCTTTATTATATTTTCTTCTTACACCAATGTCAACAAAATTTTTGGTCATTTTAAAGTGGTAGAGCCATTTAGCCTGCCTTCCTGAATATCTAATGAGTAATTACCAATTTCTAAGTGACCACTATTAATCCTATGGTTTCTGAATCAGCGGTGAGAGATGAATGACCATCAGACTAAAATTATTGAGATCAATTGTCACTGAGAACTTGCGCCCTTGATTACAATACCTACGCTCTCCCAATTGATTAATGTGGAATTATAAAAACATGTTAAATTTATTCACTTTGCAGGGGTTGAATATTGATATGATTACATTACAGCAAAAGTAGACTAAACACTTACTTCCTGTTCACATGCCAACTTTTATTTTCTGTATTTTTGATTTAGATGAAAGTGATTTTTGCTACATGTGTGTTACTTTTACTATGGCAGGAAAAAGATTAAGAATCAACAGTATTGAAACAAAATACGTATGATGTTAAACATACCTTTCCATATTTACTAAACAATGCCTTGAGATCAGTGGCTCTAGTGGTAGTAGATAGGGAGCTTACCCACAAATTACGGCTTCCAGCTGTAAAATATAATCTTATATTAAAGAAGTCAAATTTATATGCATACTTATACTTCAATAATTATAAAAGTCACCAATATTATTATATGCTAGAAACCACAGTAAGCACAATAACTAATTCTTTCAAAATTTCATTTTAAAGGGACTCCACTGAGGTTTAAAAGCCTAAAAACATAACATTTGAATTTCTTACATAAATGAGCTGGGGCACTTTGAACCGAAATATATGCAAAGATAGTTAAGAAATATACTTTTAAATAAATTGAAAATCGTATTTTTATGCTTTTCTTAGCCCGATTTGAGTGAAAAGCGTTGAAACGCTTTTCAATTTGGTTCATTTTTTTTTACAATTTGAATAATTATTCTGGAAAAAAAAGTGTGCGAATGATCTGAAATTTTGCACAAAGATTAGAGGTCAAAATCTTCATCAAATGGTACATTTATCTGGAAAAAATATTTTCAGTCCCATCATGTCAGTGGAGTCCCTTTAAGCATTCTCATGTATTTAGTGAGATTATGATTAGTATGAAAACCATTTTATACTACAAATTTTCTTTGAGAGCTGACTTTAAAGTCAAATATTCCTACAAATATTAAATAGATTAAATGCTGGACAAACTTACATCTCTCATCCTTTTTGGTGTCCTTAGCAGCACTAAAAGTCAAATAGAAGAACACACAAGATCAATAAATATTCCTTTAAAGATTTTATTCAACTGAAACTGTTTATTTATGATCAATTCAATATAATCATTTGATGAAATAAATATTCTACTTGTAATAAAGTTTTAACATAATGAACATTTTCAATAAAAAAGGAAAATTATAGCCTGAAGAGAAACATCAGAACAAATAACAGAAGATATAAGGAAATAAAAGGTATCTCACTCTCAAACCATTCAAGCAATCTATATTTCAAGTTTTACTGTATAAAACAGCAATGAATGTCTTGGGTATATGTTAAAGACAAATAAGTTGTTGTTTTAGAAAAGGGATAATGTCAAAATTATTTCTATGTAACAAGTGTGTAAATATTGAGGACCACATCAAAGCTTGTAGGGTTTTGTATGATATTGATTTTTATAACAAAATTGACCATGTATATAGTTGATGAATTATTAAATTTCTTTTTCATCACAGTTCTAACTATCCCTTTATTCTGTTCATTAACTTCAATATTAGTATCATCATATCAAACTTTTGTTAGGTCAAATACTGTCACTTTTTCTATCACTTTTAAATATCTGTTTTAAAGTAACATGAAAAAATAGGGCACCATGAATTGTTTATTCTGAACATCAAAAATAAAATTCAATGCATTGAAACTATAAACAGCTTTTTTTGGAAAAAAAGAAAAGAAAATCGACTGAACTACTGAACAAAAAAAAAATGTGCAAGTAACTCTAGTATGAAATGGTTTTCCTCTGTTACGCCTTGTTGTTTTCACTAGGAAGCATGAACACTATCGTCTATACCAGGATGGCCAGTGTCTCCTCGGTCTACGCAATACAGTCATCATCATTGTGGGACAAGTTATCTGGTACAAGGGAAAGACAGCAAACTACCTCATGATTCACTTCATTGAAAAAGAGATCTTACTGCCTCTGTTACAAACTCAGCTACAGGTAGAAATATTAAAAGTTGTTGAATTCTATGATGATCCAAAATCAGAAGGTATAAGACAAACAGAATAGCTGAAATAAAAAAATGAGCAAAGACACCACCTTACACATGACAAAATTATTCATACAAACCATACCAACCTCTTTTCATCAGGTTTCTTGTCATCTGTTTTAGTTTCACCTTCACCAGTTTTAGAGGCATCACTCTTAGTAGATTCATCACCTTCTTTTTTGGCATCTGTTGATGGACCAGCATCTTTACCATCTCCAGTTCCCTTGGTACTTCCATCATTAGTTCCCTCTGTTTTAGCTGAACTCTGAGAATTAAGTAGGTCAGCATCCAGGTCATTTTGTGTGTCATCCACCAGCACCTCTAACTGTTCACTCTCCCCTTCAGGTTTCTGCCCATCTATCTTTTCTTCACCAGGTTTATCCGGCTTGATACCTGCCCCCTTATCACTCCCCTCCCCTGCCAATGTTTCTTCAACAGAAACATCTGCCTTAACTTTGGCAGTATCATCAGTTTTTGCCGGTGTAGACACTGACAGAGGTTTTATTACTTCGGTCGTCTCCCCCACAGATTCATTTTTAACATCAGATTCATTTTTAACATCAGATTTATCCACAGAATCATCAGTTAGTTTTGAAGTGTCCTCTGCTTTTGGAGTGGATTTTTCATCTTCAGCTGCAGATGAGGCAACAGTTGATATCTCAGCATCACCAACAATAGGCTCAGAAGATTCTGGATTGTTTTCCTGCTGTTCACTAACAACAGGCAAAGCAGGAGTCTCAGTTGTAACAGAACTAGGGACTGCTTGGGCTATAGAAAGCAGAAAAATTGTCTAGTTGAAATATACATAAAATAATGAGTTGGTTGTTGAATAAGGGGACAATTTCATGGCCAAGGGCATACTTACTTATAACCGCAGTTTTACCCTGTAGATTAAGACAAAAGATAACCTACGATTCCCTTGTTTTCTTTGGTTGGTCAATGCTGTGATATCCACACCCAAAATTTCAATTGTAACTGCTCATGGAGAAAACGTCACAAGGAGAAAACTCACAAGTTGGTTCACTTCGTCTTTATCACTTTACCATATTGTTCTTCAAAATATCCAATCAGCATAAATGTCCATGCTCCAACACATTAAGTTCCAAACTTGTCTGGGTATTTTGACAAATTTCATATAACCGTGAATCCATTTTACGACAACTCAGACAAAACAGTTTGCATGGCTTGAATCTTGCAGCACATGGTCTGGCAATATTTCTTCTTCCATCTTACTATCTGCCTTCCCAAACATTTGGACATAAAGTGGCAATAAAATAGGGCTAATGCATTTTGGTAGACTTATATCTTTCAATTGGTAAAATAAACTTTTGACTTATTGAAATATTATCTGAAGATGTAATCTAAGCCTATACATAGCAATTTTGTAAAAATAACAGATATCCTTAAAGTTAGATATTAATTTGGGTCATTATTCATTTCTTTTATACCTGGTTCCTCTTTTGTTTCTGGCTCTTTAACTTCATTTTCTGTTTCCTGTAAAATACAATGGTTTCAATAACACTTGCCCTAAGAGCATCCACTATGACTATTCTAAAAGCTTAGGAATATGAGCATGTCTTTGAAATATACTAAGTAATGACAGAGTTATGCACTCTTGCTAAAAAGTTAACAAGTATTTCAAACTTAAAAGCACTATCTCAAAGGGGGTCAAATATCACTCAAGGTATGTGCATCTTTCTGCCTTTTAGAATTAAAAAAAAAATATCTAACAAGAAACCACTAAGGCAGGAAATTAACGAAAAGGTTAACAAGGGCTAAAAACCTAGCTTGAAAAAGGAGCAAACTTTGCAAAAAATAATTTTAGGGTTATCTGCCCTTTTATGACAATAAACATGTATAAACAAGTTTGAAGTGAATAGCTTTTACTGTCTTTTTAGACAATGGACGTCAACATAAGATTAATCAATGCCAACGCCAATAAGAGAGTCAAGACAATAGCTCCATTGTTAAAAAATACTATATAAAATAGTGTTAAGCTACCATTGGTTCCTCCTTTGAGTCTGTACTGGTTTGCTTAGCTTCAGTCTGCTCTGATGCAACCTCCAACTGTAAAGAAATTGAATTTCTCCTAAAACAATAGAACTTCATTCATATTTACATATAATGTGAGTAAACAATTCAACTATTCTTAAATGGAAAATACATTATCAAGTTGAATCTAATTCTACTCAGTAGCAGAACCTTGGCCTTCAAATATTTTTTTCTATCTTTTCTCAATGGCAATGACGATGAAGCAGCAATCATAATAGCACTACCTTTTCTTTTGAAACAGACCAGCTAAAAATTGACCACTTTGTATTTCAATTTAAAATAATGAATTTAGTACAAGCACTTTACCCCATTCTCTATCTGGTCAATTTTCTTTTCATCAGATTTTTCATCAGTTACAGTGTCCTGCAAAAAAAACAAGATTGCATTTGAGAAAAATGCTATGCCACCGCATGGTTCAAATTTCATAGCTGTACATCAAAGGACAAGAAAGTAGGTCACATCATCAAAATCTAGGTCACCTGATATCAAAGTTCAATTTTACAACTAAAACTGTGCACGTGGTCAAAATGTCATTGCTGTACATCAAAGGACAAGAAAGTAGGTCACTGTCCCCTTGGGCAAGGCATAATTTTGACCCAAGGGTTTAATTCAAAACAATTTTGATACAGGTCCACCAAATAACATTTCAAGTCAAATATCTAAGCTATAGCTTTCTCCCATTCAGAAAACATTTGTTTTATTTTCTGTTTTTACTATGTGTACATAATGAGAATCACTGCCCCCGGGCAGGGCCAATTTTTGACACCAGGGGAAAATTTTGAACAACTTTGGTAGAGGACCTATAAATGATATTATATATCAAACATCAAAGCTCTATGCCTTGTACTTTCAGACAAAAATATTTTTCATTTTTTCACTATATGTACATAATGAAAATCAATGACCCCAGGGGTGGGGCCAATTTTGACCCCAGGGCTATAATTTGAACAATCTTGCAAGAGGTTCACTACACAATGTTTCATGCAAAATATCTTAACTCTAGCCTTTGTAAATTTAGAGAAGATGATTTTTTAAGTTTTTACTATATACATATAAGGAAAACCTATGGCCACCGGGGGCGGGGCTAATTTTGACACAAGAGGCAAAATATGAAAAACTTTTGTAGAGTACCTTTAGATGATATTATTTAACAAATATTAAAGCTCTAAGCCTTGTACCTTCAGACAATAAGATTTATTTATTTTTTACTATATGTATTATATTGAAATCAATGACCCCCAAGGACGGGGACAATTTTGACCCCAGGGCTATAATTTGAACAATCTTGCTAGAGGTTTACTACACAATGTTTCATGCAAAATATCTAACCTCTAGCATTTGTCAATTGCTAGAAGAATTTTTTTTGAAGTTTTTACTATAAGTTTTTACTATATACATACAAGGAAAACCAATGACCTCCGGGCGGGGCCGATTTTGACCCAGGGCTATGATTTGAACAATCTGGGTAGAGGTTTACCAGACAATGTTAATGCAAAATATATAAGCTCTAGGCCTTTTGGGTCTTTACAAGAAGGTGTTTTAAGTTTTTACTATATGTACATATAGTGAAAATCAATGACCCCGGGGCGGGGCCGATTTTGACCCAAGGGCTATAATTTGAACACTCTTGGTAAGGGTCTACCAGACGATGCCTTATGCAAAATATCTAAGCTCTAGGCCTTTTGGGTTTTTACAAGAAGATTTTTTAAATTTATTCTTATAATTCCTTTTGGTTGCCATGGCAACCAGATTTCTGCATGGAATGAAATTCTTTGAACAACTTTGGAAGCCCTTCACCCAAGGAACAATCCTGCCAAGTTTGGTTGAAATTGGACTAGTGGTTTTTCACAAGAAGATTTTTTAAGTTCACTATATAATCTATATAACACACACACAAACACACACACAAACACACACACACACAGGTGAATCGCTATATGCCACCGCATCGCAGATGCTGCGGTGGCATAAAAAGACCATCAGGTTATTATTGAACATAATTTTATTTTCTTGCAGAATTTGTAACATTTATATACTTATATTATATAAACCTTTGGTTTTATTTTATAGAGTATAAATATGAGTACATATTCTAATATAAAGCTTACATTGTCCTCCTTCTCTGAATCATTCTCTGTAAGGTCTACTGTATCAACTTTAGGTTCTATAATCTCAATTGAGCAATCTTCAGTTTCATCCTCTTCACCCTCATCATCAAACTGAAATATATTAAATACAGTTCCAGAAAAAATTGTATCATTCTATTTATAACTTTTTTTTGGTATATTAATCATTAATTCTACAACCGAGTAGGACAACCAAGAAGCAGCTTTTCCTCAATACATACAAGTGAAAAAAAATAATTCAAAATACTTTTACAAATAAATATATCAGAGACCATACTCTTTTATTTACAAGAAAATGCCGGAATTCTTTTATACTTGTATTTATAACACCACTATTAACCATATATTCTAGATTTGTACTAATAGCTCTTGAGCACAATCTTGTTGATAACTTTGCTACCTTTTCTTTTTTTGTTTTGGTAATACATGTATATATGTATGTTGTCAGTATTTGTATGAAGTTATATCCAAACTAGAACTATCACTAAATGTGATTAATACCCCCACAAGACTGCTTCCGAAATGAGGATCTTACTAGTAACAGAATATCTTGTAAAAGAATTGAAATATAGAGTTATGGTTGTGGGCAATTAAAGATAGTTGTGGTTCTTGTATATTGCATTCCCTTTCAATGTGGTTGGCCACTGATGAAGTTTTATTGAGTTACTCTGTAATAAGTCCAGAAAGACAAAGAAAAGGAACAAAGGGCAATAACTCTATAAATACTGAAGATGGAGTTATAGTTCTTGTGCACTGCACTTCCTCTTTTTGTGCTTGACCATTGTATGGCATTGTTTTGAATTTCAACCAGTACGTTTTAAGTTGTGCTCCAGACAAGGAAAAGTATCAAAGGGCAGTAACTCTGTATTTTGTCAAAATGGAGTTATGGCTCTTATGCACTGCGCTTCCTTTTAATGTCCTTGACAACTGTATGAAGTTGTATTGAATTCCAAACAGTAGTTTTCAAGTTATGCTCTGGACAAGGAAAAGTAACAAAGGGCAATAACTCTATAATTAGTCAAGATAGAGTTATGGTTCTTGTACACTGCACTTCCTCTCAATGTGCTTGACCATTGTATGAAGTTATATTGAATTCCAACCATTAGTCTTCAAGTTATGCTCCGGACAAAAAAAAGCAATGGAAAAGTAACAAAGGGCAGTAACTCTGTAATTAGTCAATATGGAGTTATGGTTCTTGTGCACTGCACTTCCTCTCAATATGCTTGACCATTGTATGAAGTTGTTTTGAATTCCAACCAGTAATTTTCAAGTTATGCCCCTGACAAGGAAAAGTAACAAAGGGCAATAACTCTGTAATTAGTCAAGATAGATTTATGGTTCTTGTGCACTGCACTTCCTCTCAATGTGCTTGACCATTGTATTTAGTTATATTGAATTCCAACCATTAGTCTTCAAGTTATGGTCCGGACAAAAGAAAGCAATGGAAAAGTAACAAAGGGCAATAACTCTGTAATTACTTTAGATAGAGTTATGGTTCTTGTGCACTGCACTTCCCCTTACTGTGTTTGACAATTGTATGAAATTATTTTGAATTCCAACCAGTAGTGTTCAAGTTATGCCCCGGACAAGGAAAGGTAACAAAGGGCAGTAACTCTGTAATTAGTCAAGATAGAGTTATGGTTCTTGTGCACTGCACTTCCTCTCAATGTGCTTGACCATTGTATGTAGTAATATTGAATTCCAACCATTAGTCTTCAAGTTATGGTCCGGACAAAAGAAAGCAATGGAAAAGTAACAAAGGGCAATAACTCTGTAATTACTTTAGATAGAGTTATGGTTCTTGTGCACTGCACTTCCCCTTATTGTGTTTGACAATTGTATGAAGTTGTTTTGAATTCCAACATGTAGTTTTCAAGTTATGCCCCGGACAAGGAAAAGTAACAAAGGGCAATAACTCTGTAATTAGTCAAGATAGAGTTATGGTTCTTGTGCACTGCACTTCCTCTCAATGTGCTTGACCATTGTATGTAGTTATATTGAATTCCAACCATTAGTCTTCAAGTTATGGTCCGGACAAGGAAAATGCAACGGACGTCTGGACCGACCGACCGCCCGACCGACCGACCACCGGGTGACTCCTATATACCCCCCCCAAACTTCGTTTTTGGGGGTATAATAATCCAAATGATTTCCTTAATAAAAATCTGAACACAAAACAACTGGGCAGGGTTTTTTCTCTCAGCAATTTGGGAATCCAGAATTCAGGAATTTTTACAATGCTTTAGAAAAATTTGGAAAAACTGGCAACATATTGTATACATAAAAAAGACCAAGAAATCAAATATTTGGTTCAGTGGGTGATTTAAACTCCTGCAATATTTCACTCATAAACAAATATTACAATTTGGAATGCAAGATTACAATTTTCTATGGCCACAGTGTAGTTAAATGTAGCAAAATGACAATAATTTTACTTATTTTATTTTTTGTTCCTTGAATTGGGAATTTTCTTCTTGAAATTGGGAAAAACATACTTTTTGGCATTGGAAACCTGACCCATTACCAGGCATCAAAATAGGACAGCAAAAAAAAACTGTATTGCAAGACATAAACAAACTATTTGAAATTCACAAAAGACAAAATTACAAAGAACTAAACCTGGAAACAAGAGTGTGAGCAAATTATCTTTCTAGGATTGAAATAATACACAAAGATGTTTCCCAGAATTTATTTTAGTTCAATCTATAAGCTTATAGTCACACTTTCGAAACCGTTCCTGGAACCAATCAGTACTGAGCAATGAGAGTTAAGTTTCTTGCTCAAGGAAACAACTGGCCAATGACGGGGTTTGAACCCATGTGGCTAGCGATCATTAGATTACCAGACTGACACACTAACCACTCGGCCATGCCGCCACTGTCAATTAAAACCTTCACACTCATCAATCAATAGAATCTCTTCAATGTATATGATTCGATGTAATACACAGTTAAATACAAACCTTGTCTGCATCTTTATCTTCTGCATCTTTGTCTTCTGAAAAAAAAAAAAGATTTACTATAATAAAATTTTAAGCAACTTTGTTACCAATAGAGAGCTAGGCCAGCATACAAATCTGTGCTGTTTGACTGAGATCTAAAATATACATGTACTATGTCAGTAGCTCAATATTTGTATTTTGATATTTTCACTCCAATCACTGTGAATGCACTCTTCCATATTCAAAGCAGGGAAAACCCATTAAAAATGCAAGTTAAGGGATTACATATGATATGCAGTACTGAAGAAACACTTTCATTGGCAACTTGATTTTTGCATTTACTACAACCATGCCTAAAACTGAATTTTATGTTGAATAGTATTATATTAATATTATTGCAGGATCTAAGCAAGAAATAAAACAATACATTTTAAAGAAATTCAACAAAAACAATGAACATGCATTATTTGTATGACATGAAATATAGTTACGACTAATAATCTTCATTTAAAATGAGCAACTATTTTGTCCTAACTGGAAATATTTCCTAACTTGAAATATATTATGAAATGGCTAGGCACGGCCACATAAGCAAATTCAATAAAATCAACATACAGTTTGCCTAAAGCATTGTGAAATAAATCAATTAAGTAATTTCTAATTTTGAAACAGCTTGAAGATATATTACCATCTGTTTTTGTTTTTAACTGTGCTTTTCTTGCAGATCCTGGTGTTTTTTTGCCAGCTGGTGATTCAGTTACCTCTAATTCAACAGTGTTTGGGTCATGACCTTCTTCTTCTAGTGCCTGAATTAATAAACATGAAATTAACTAAAGCTATTCAAATTACACCCCCACCATCCCTGATTTAAATAAACAATGCAAAATGTTATTGACCTAATGTCAAATTTAAACTCAATCTGTATTTTATGACAGACTTCCCGAAATACGTCGGTCCGACGGACATGTCCGATAAATTTTGATCAGGTCCGACAATTTTTTATTCCGGATCGGTCCGACTGTCCGGCTTTTATCCAAGCCGCATGTATACAAAATGGCGTCGCTAAAGGTGCCAAACCTGGGAATAACCGAAAATATAAGTCAGAAGAGTGCGCAGAACAGCAATAAAAGGATGAAAAGAATAGACCAGTGTGGCCATACCACGTGACATTGACGTCATTTTCGGCATCATTTCCAAGACAAATATTGCTCGATTCGGACAAGAAAATAGTCATAAATATTTTATTTCTGTACCAATTTCTTTGGGATATGCACCAGTCTACGGGGAAAAATATAAGCTTTCCACAGAATATTAAATATTCGTCAGTTTAGAAGCCATTTTATTAAACACTTTGCATAACCTTGAAAGTTGCTTGTATTAGAACGGGCTTCAGTTGCAAGCTATTTCGTTTTCTGGCGTGTATCTGGTCTACGCCATGAATAAAAGTCAGGTTTACATCAACCGGGAGTACGGAAGGCAAAACTCTACCTAAATATGTTCATATTTTTATTACGAATGACATTAATCTTACATTTTTCTTCAATTGTCAATTCTGGCACCAGTTCCAAGTCGAAAAAAAGGACTACAGTTTAAAGCAGATTTTAGAATTCGTTGAAAATGCAAAGCAACATGCCTACCGTTTTCTTTCTACAATTTAGTTTATCATTGTTGATCTTTCACAGAGAGATTGTGAAAAAACTGATTGTTCCTTAAAGCAATAACACTTATACTTGTATCGCAATAGTGCACGTCAAATCACTAAGATTTAGTCCTGTCGGAAAATAATATTTTGGTTTCGTTTTGAAGATGTTTTAAGTATTGCTCATCTTATCCTATGTAGTAAAATGTGTTTTATTCTATTTCACAATGGCGAAATTGATAAGAAATATATGTGCTCTCAGTAAGAGAAAGAGTTAAAATAAAAAAACACATTTGTATGCTATGGAAAGGGTTACACTTTAACGCGAGTGTTGTAAAGCTACTTTATTTTTGTCAAGAGTTACTGACAAACACTGACACTCGTGAATGTGACAAATAGGTTTTTCTGTCCTCAAAAGAGAGACTTTTAAAAGGTTTATTTTTTTTTCTGGAATTGTTGTATAATAAATTTCTATAGAGTTTGATAAACGAAATCACAATTTGAACTTGGAACTTTGCCGTGTAAACCTGATAGTATTGTTACTTAGTTGCATTACTTATGATTCTCTATTTATCAAAAAGACCCAAAATAGCCATGAATAAGAACGAGAATGGACGCCATGTGGAGTTAACAAAGTAGAAAATAGTAAACAGATAAATGATTTTACAAACCAATAGCCATCGATCACAGTCAAATTTCATGAAAACAAAACATTCAAAAAGACGGAAATAACAATGATTATCAATAATTATATAAATATTTACATTAACATCTGTAATAGCAACATCGGCAAGATCTAAGACTAGGGTCCATATGACACTGATGCGTCCATTGAATTATTGATAGCTAACATAAGCTTACTAAAATTGCGATTACATTTGAAAAGTATATTCAATTTTATCCTTCAACTGTCAAATGACTTTCTGCTTTATTTACATATCAGATAATTCACTTATTTAGTATATGCGCCATGTTTATCTTGTTTTAGATTTTAATGTGTGGTCCGTTTTTAAATCTTAAAATGCTACAAAAAGCCAGTTGAGAACATCTGCAGGTCATGCCGCGTGTAATAATCCATGCATTTACAGCCAATGACCACATCGATAAGATTCAGTTGAAAGAGACATTATTGTTAAAAAGGTTCTACTCGATTTAAATGTTTTCAAACCATAAATATTCCGTTCCCTTAATTCCTCTTTTTACAATATATATTGGTGAGCTCTCTGATAAAGCTGAGTTGACTGATATAATGAACTAAATTTGTTAGATATGCAGTTTATCAACAGAAATAAATGCAATTATAAAATAGATAGTATTTAATAGTGTTCTTAAGTTAACGAAGTTATATCCAGTTCACGAAAAACGGTTACCGTGGGTATGAAAACAGGATGTAAAAATATGTTTTACCAACGAGTGCCACTGTGTTAAAAATCTGAATCTATCATACTAAAACATTGCTACAGGTTCTTTATATATACATGTATATGGTTATACGTATAAATAGCTCTTTTTTTACTTTAAAAATGCCGCATTGAGGCGTAACCCTTATTTAGAGCATACAAATCGAAGTGATCCTGAATGTGCATGTTCATTGGACAGGCTAGCTAAGTCAATCAACATTTTCAATTTTGCCGTTTTGGGCGATATTTAGGGTTTCTGTTTTCTATTCCACGTTTAGTATAGCTACATGACACAAATAGATTTTTCATAATCATTACCGTGAAAGAACAATGATTAAAGAGCAAATCAATTTATTTACAAATACAGACAACAATTTTACGACTTTTAAAATCACTTATAGCGCAGCGAGTAAAAATCATTTAAATATTCATTTGTGTTTATGTAAATCGTATAGTAAATTTTTTTTGTGTGTGTCATTTTACGCCTTTTTCCAACAGTATTTCAGTCATATAGGCGGGTAGTTTCCTAACCATCGTTCCTCGTATAGTAAATAAAATGTGTTTCATGGTTAACATAATTATAGAAAGAGAACGGTATGCATGTTGCTTTGCATTTGCAACGGATTCTAAAAACTGCTTTAAACTGTAGTCCTTTTTTTCGACTTGGAACTGGTGCCAGAATTGACAATTGGAGAAAAATATAAGATTTATGTCATTCATAATAAAAATATGAACATATTAAGGTAGAGTTTTTGCCTTCCGTACTCCCGGTTGATGTAAACCTGACTTTTTATTCATGGCGTAGACCAGATAACGCCAGAAAACGAAATAGCTTGCAACTGAAGCCCGCTCCTGATACAAGCAACTCCCAAGGTTATGCAAAGTGTTTGATTAAAACGTCTTATAAACGGACAAATATCAAATATTCTGTGGAAAGCTTATATTTTTTCCCCATAGACTGGTGCATATCCCAAAGAAATTGGTACAGAAACAAAATATTTACGGCTATTTTTTTTCCGAATCGAGCAACATTTGTCTTGGAAATGATGCCGAAAATGACGTCAATGTCACGTGGTATGGCCACACTGTAGACCTGAGACAAATTTAATGAAAAATGGAAGCCAGAACCAATGAATCTTGGTGTTGACGGGAAGGGGGTAAAAGGGTGTCGCAAATTTTTGCCGGATTTTTAAAAACAAAAAAATAAAAAACAAAAAGTGCTTTGGGAAAACCCAAAAAAAAGTTTTTTTTTGCATTTTGAATCAATTTAATTTTGGTTCCCCACAGATTTTGTTTCCCCCCGGGGGAAACCCGATTTTTTTGGTTTGTAAAAAAGGAAAAGTTGACCCCGTTTTTTCAACTTTTCGGGAAGCCCGGTTAAAATAGTTTTTTTCCCGTTGAACCCAAATTTTTAAATTTAAAATCCACTGCCCTCCTTTAATCCAAACCCCCTTCCTTTTAAAGATCAATTTTCCCCCTTTAAAATTTCTTTAAATTTTAGGGTCTTTCCAAGGTGTCAAAATGGATTCCAAATTTTTCTCTGAAAATCAAGGATTTTTTCCCAAATTTTTCCCAAAAAGAAATGGGGGGGCTTTAACCTTTTAAGGCTACAGCTGAAAATGAAACTTTTTTAACGACTTCCTCGTTCATAGGCTTTGCCTTATTTCATATAAGATTCAAGCTCCTGTATTCCCAGAATTATCTCCATTTCATTTTTGAACTTAGAATTCAATTGTAAATTGATTTTTTTAGTATTATCTTTGTTATTATAAAATAATGGTATCTAGATCTAGGGCCTACTCTCAACTTAAGATAATAATTTTGTTCTTTGTCATTACTAACATCATGCATGACAGCGTTCATACCTCTAGCATCCTTTTTCAATAGCTATTTCCTCTTTGGACTTTCTTAATCATATAAATATGTCTGTAAATTTACAGATACAAAAGATCTGTTAAATTATGGATTGTCGAAAAATTTGGTAGAAATTGACCAGAAATAGTGTTTGTATACATGAATAGATTGGACGTCGAAAACGACATGGATTGAAAATATTGGCATTTTCTGAAACTTTTACTCATTTCTTTGCTATTTGGAGAATATTTATGAAATAAAAAGCTTTAACGCTTGGATTGATCCTTTCAGATGGCGACCAGAAAGAGATAACCGTGATCTAGTTGTTTATTGCAGCAGTGTTCTTGTTTGTTCCGCATGATGTTTTTGTTTCGTTGGGGGCCTTATCGTCAATGTATCTAAAATCGCTGTGTATATAAATTCGCAGATTTTGTTTACACTCGGATAACCTCGTAAAATCTTGTCGCATCTGCCCGACTATGACATAATATTTCTCGCAAAATGTGTCTACATATGTTTCGTGTATCAAATCATCACAAATCACACAAAAATGGGCAGTTTATTGTTTATTTTCTAATAAGTATAAAAAAACATGATTTTACTTATGCCCAAATATCTACCTTATAAGTAATCCATTTTTATTTACTTAGAAAAGTTTTTCGACACAATTCCCAGTTCCGGAAATTTCTTCAAGATGTGAAGGTCAGTCGGCCATGCTTTTTTTCCCAAACCGAGGCTATGAATATATTTACTGACCGATTTTGGATACCCATATCAGCTAACGCAAAAAGTGTCATTTCCTTCATTTAAAAATTAATTAGGTCTAACTTTAAGCCTATTTGACCAAAATATAATGACAGAATAACTTTTATGTCATCATCAAACTTTAAGATGTAATCACATGTTTAGATTACAATGTGCAAGCACTTGACCTTCTTAAATCTTTTGCCGGAAATGAGGGTCATAGGGGAGGTGAAATTGAATTTATCGGCTTGTTTTTTGTTTTTTTTACTACTTCTTACATGTTTACAAAATAAAACTGCAAATAAGAAATAGATATATAAAAAATCAACATTGTTCTGAAATATTGATATTTTCTCAGTTTAAAGTGACTGGAATTTTTGTCATGTGCACTGATTTGACCTACAATGACGTATTTGTAGTCGTCCGCGAATTAACATACAGTTCCAATATGGCGGCGGTCATGACAGACGCTTATTATTTAAAGTCACCACTGACAAATACGAGTGTAAGTTGGTGAAACTTGAACTGACTTGAAATTGAAAAAGGCCAATTGTAAGCAAACATTATGTGTATAATTTATTATATATCTTTTTTCCACATTATTTCTCACAAATCTGCCTAATACCGCGAATGTACATCAATCGAGGATATATCTTTACATACATAAAGACCGATTGATTCCGACCGATTATGTAAAATATTTGATTATGTGACTAGCGCCTGTGAATCGGGATAGGTGTAAAATTGTTCCATGCTGTCTCATATATTCTAAAGTTACACTTATAAATAATATTTATTCTGGTCCGAAACGTCCAAAACAATGGTCCAAAGTGTCTAACACATGATCCCAAATGTCCAACACATGGTCCGAAATGTCCAAAAATCTGGTCCGAAATGTCCCAAAATATGGTCCCCTTTCCACTTTTTCTGATTTATCGCGCTATATATTCCCCTTCAAAAAGCCACGGGTTTTTTTGATAATTGGAAAAAAAAAAATCACTGTAGTCTCGAAGCATAATTTTGTGTGACACACCCAAAGGCAAAGGACTCGGGCGACATAAAATTATGTTTTGTAAGTAGTGTAGTAAGTGTTAACCTTTTGCAGTCTTTCGACAAGAACAGCTTTAACACCTGATTTATCCAAGTCACGTTTCTCCAACTGTAATCTTAAATCAACAACTCGTAAGTCTGCAACTCGTTTGGACTCCTTCGTGGCCATCTTTCCAATATGGCGTTTGTCCGGATTATGACGGAAATTTTTCCATTCTGAACCTCTCTGACTTTTTCCTCACTCGCAACATGACGCCAACTCGCCGGTTATTTACGAAGATTAACGATAGTCCTAGTCGCATCACCTCGGCCGTTTCCGTATTGATTGATAACTATCGGAACATCTCGGCTATTTTCAAGATACAGACGGTAAGAGCCGAAAGGTGTCTGCGAAATGCAAATTTTGTAAAAATATACAGATTTTAGCAAGTAATTAGCTATACTTAAAAAAAAATCACCATAACAGCAACTGTATATGAATGCAACAAAACAAATTTTCTAATTAGTTACTTTATTTTTTGCTGCTTTCTCTAGATATTTTTGCCAAAATGCCTCTATTTTAGTATTTATGGCCATTTCGGACCATGGACATTTCGGACCAGAGTTTTAAGACAGCCTTTTTCTTGGGGAAAATATGCATGATTTTGGCTTACTTTTGGAAAAGGTGTCTCAAATTTAACACAAACTTTTAACAAGTTCTTCAAAATAGAAAAGGAAAAAGCACTGGGAAATACTTATAAGTCAGTAAAACTTCTAAATTCAACACCATCATTTAATTTTGTTCAAAATTTGGGAAATTTCAAAAGTCTTGGGAATTTTTGAGGATCAAACTGGGGAAAAAAGAGGCTAGTTTGGCTGTAGTCCAACTAATTAGACTTGTCATAGAGACACCGAGATAATTTTGGACGGGCGCTGTCTTTTTCCAAGTCCAACCACGAACTGCATTTTTATGCACGGACGCTTCCCAATTAGAAGTTGTTGGGAGCGAAAACTAAAAAAGTTTCAAAGAAACGGTCTTCATTACCTGAAAGAGAACCGTTTTTTATGCAAGGTTCCAAGTTATCATACTTTAAAGTCGAACACAAGTCTAAATATTCCACTTTAACTTTTTAAATCGTTGAAAATTATTGTAAGCGGCCATATTGGAAAATGACGCAAGCGGTGACAGGGTAAAACAGGGTAAAATTGTAAAATTTCCATGGTGTAACACAGGTATCGGCGGCAATCGATTGTATTTGTCAAGCTTTATAATATAATTTGTTTAAGTTATGAATTATGCAGGAATAACTTTTTTTTTTCACACAAGAATATTTCAGCATTAAAAATAAAATGTGAAAAGGATATTCTGATAACCTTACTTAGATGTCCGACGTCGGATCATACTGCATTTTAAAAGTCCATTTAAATTGTCAAATTAGAAATTGTAATGTCGGATTTTTTAACATCTGTGATCATTAGGTGAAATTTCTGAACTGCCTTTTTATTTTATAACCCTGCCATGATTTCGCACATATGAAAATACAATGTAATTGTAGGTACATCTTAATGAATTATAAGTATACTATACATGATGAAGCAAAGAAGAATTTCAATTTATATTAAACTCCCTATCAATTTTCATTTTTTTATCTTTAAAAATATTGAGGACAGTTGTGTAGGGGAAGAAGTTCAAAACAACCAAAAATAACTTTAAATTCTGAGAAAAAAATCTTAAAATTTCAAACTATAAAATGGAACTTCAGACAGTCCTCAGTAAAATGCAATTGTCGAACAGATATGACGGGGTTTATGATAAAAACGCAGCAAGCCCTTATTTAAGACGTAGAATAGCATAACAATGTAAGGCAGATGGGAGAAATAGTCTGATTAGATTACTGTAGTCGTCTGTTAGAACGACTGTCGCAAAATGACACCAAAACCTATATCCATTTAAAATTCCATGTTATCTAGTTCCCGCTTTTCATTGAACAGCAACTCGAATGTGTTGCATTGAAAGTTCCATGATTACCGCCGTATTTTGTGCACATCTGTGGGTGTTGATTAAAATTTCTACATTATTATGTTTTAGTGTCCAGCTTTCTTTGTCATCCAATGAAAACGCTGTATTTCTTAAAAATTATGTGTGTTAATTTTCATAGAAGAAAAAAAGTCGATACTATATTGAAATCCGTTCATAGTCGCCTTCTATTTTTCATAGTGCTTCATAGTACCGCGTAGTGACGTAATCAAGGGCCAAATAAAGCTTGACACTAAATATGTTAGTGTTCATCCTTAGCTGTTCTACAGAAATTAGAAACATTCTCCTGTCGCTATCGCTCCCGTCGAATTTTCTAATTTCTGTAGAACAGCACGGATGAACACTAACATATACTAAGTGATGAATTCTGTTGAAACCGGCGCAAGGGAGCACATGTACCTACCAGAGCCGTCTTTGGCACCCATGTGTATTTATGTTTCGGTTTTGCAGTTTCAGGCGTTTTTTTTGGTGTTTTTTTTTGGAGGGCGGATATGTGGATAAGTTTTTTCTGTTTTCTTTACATTTCTTTGCTTGCTTGTCGAACCTTGTATTGATAATCATTATCTGTTTGTTATGGTTCGGTTCGGTATACAAGTATAAAATATGATAAACAAGATGAACAAGGAAAGGCCGCGTTCAATGTACGCAACCCCCGCACGACACAGGAACAAGAATCATTTGCAAGGAACCCAGGAGGATCCTAAACAAAAAAAGGACGGCGCAAGAGAGAGCACGGTCTGGCTTATCACTAAAATAATACAAAATGATAAATATAAAGAAATAATGGTAACATACAAGGAAATCAAAATCAAAGAAAATAAATAAATGAATGATTAATAGGACCAATAAGTAAACTGGCACAGTGGTAGGGGATAGGAAATTCGGGGAAGGGGGAGGGGGCGGAATAAAGAAATAAAACTAGGGGCAAAGGGAAGATACTTACCATAGACGAGAAAACAACAAAACAAACAAAAGTGTCACCAAAACAGTATGTAACAACAAGACATACACCTTATACATGTATAAGTCTCTTAATCTGTTCATTTGAAAATTCTTATCTTCTCAATGACTTTTTTTTAATATCCTCTACTTAAAATTTATTTCAATTAAAATATGTGACCCTTCCCTTATAGTTACACAGCATATGGCTGGATCACAATAAAGTTCCTTTTTTAGTAAATTAATAAAGTATGTCAAGAAGACATTTAACTTTATCAGTAGGTTTAATATGGTATTATAATATATATCAGCAATAGGTGAAAAAGAATTCCTTTATTTCTTTTACATTCTTAATTGTCATTTAAATATGCATGTATAAATGAAGTCAGTATTTTATCGGCAGTCATTAGCAGTAAACAAGAAGGCAAACCATCTATTGATAAATGTTGAGTACATGTATTAAAACATTTAAAAAAATATTAAACAACAGTACTTGTACGGAGCCTATTTGCTACCATTGTATTTTAGGTTTAACACATTGATACTTTTCAATAGTATTTAATAATGCACAAATTTATTTAAAAATAATGAATAGATTTATTTCCCCGATATTTTTTTGAAGTTTAATCTTCATGCGTAACCCACACTTACCTGCTAGACACACTGGTTGCTACTACCAGCTTTCACGGAATCGATTTTTTACGATGACGTCATAACATGTCCGCCGGAGATAGTGTATACAGTACAAAATTTGAAATAAATCGCATGTATGCGTTAAGACAGGTACAATCTAATATTTTTTCTAGGAGAAGTTAGTACAACTAGAATTTATATTCTATTGATTTTTAGAGGACATTGAAGTTACTTTCAGGTTTAAGCAGTAAAAATCAGTCCAAACTATCGATAGTGTTGCCGGTAGATTTTCCGTGCGTAAAAATGACAGTTAAAATTAGGCGTAACGGTTTGACAGTAAGAAAAAAAAAAGTCTGTAAAATGGGTCAAACCGTTCACGCCAAATTAATTAGGCTAGTTTGGCTGGGGAAGCAGTCTATATTCGACCTCTACAAAGAAGGGTTTTTTGGCCCTGATTTAGTTGATTATGTAACGTATATCAATGGTCTACTCGTAGGGAAATTCCACCAATAATCAGGTCTCGCATTACATGATATTTTTTGACTGTCCGTAAATTTATAGACAGTGTAGAAATCTGAAGATTTTTCAATCCATAAATATACAGATATTCAATGTGAAATATGATAATCATGACATAATTCATGTCAAGAATCAGACACACTGCAGGGCCGTCGTCACGATATTGTGATTGGTGCGGCCAATTTGGTAGGTTTGAGCCAGAATCTAGGGGGGTACGGGGGCATGCTCCCCCGGAAAATTTGTTATTCTAGGATGCTCTCATGAGCAGGGGCGTTTTCCCGTATATTTGGCACAGTTTACAGCCTGCCGCTAGTACATGTTATAGCAATATATGTCAACGATTTTTTACATTTTTAAGTGCGCCGTAAGTTTTAAGGGTGAAATTTAAGGTTCGTATAACGAACGGACAGGTGTACATAAAAGATGAATACATATGTAACTGATATTTGGCAAATGAAAAATAAACAATAACTGATGTTATAATTCTTTAGATGCATTTTTATCTGATAATTATAAATAAACAAATACAAGAGATATTACAGTATGTGGATTATTGTTTAACATAAATCACACAATGGTATAGGCTTAAATAACAATCCATGACATGATGGAAGAATAGTACATTACGAGTCACTAATAACCACTTTTTGTTTAGCAGTAACTTGTATTTTTTACACAACACAGAGTCTCATTTTATGTAAATTTTCCAAAAACACATCGCCGTCGTTCTCTGGTGGTAATGAACTCATCGGCAAAAACACGTTAGTTAAATGAATCTGGCCTGTACTTATGAATATGTAACACCATTAAGATTGTTCAAACGTACTTGAGACATTGTCGATCTCAGGTATGTCTTTCTTCTTCTGAGCGCCAATAATGTCCTTTCACTTGTAGCATTAGTAACAGGCATTTCTAACAAAATCTTAAACAACACAACGACCTCAGAGAACAGTGCTCGTTCTAGCACTGACTGTTCTGACACAAATTTCAAAACGTCAGGCAGAGTAACAGTACTATTTTCTGATTTGTCAAAATGTGAACGTAGCAGCTAAAGCTGCACCTCTAAGATATCTCGGTTAATGTCGTTACCATAGGCATTTCAAACAAAACCAAGTTCTCTAGTGTACTCGGTCGTCAAAGTTTGTGCGACCTTAATACGTAAATCTTCCACGTTCTGAAGTACGGGATATCCCGGTTGGTCAAATCTCTATTTTACACTGACCATGGCAAGATCGATTGCTTCAAAGTACTTATAGGCCAGAAAACGGTTGCCGTATACAATCAATAAAATGTTATCAAGTTCTCGGAGAATTCAGGCATACTATTTTAAGATATTCATAATGCATATTGCAAATCTCATGCACTGTTTTTTTTATTATATCATAATATATATAACATTGATGAAATAATGTACGTTTTGGAAACGAAAATGATATTGGTTGATTTGGTTCAGATGAACACATCATGATAGTTTGCTATCTTAAGCTATTCATATTTAGATACTTTTATGTGAACAGAAGTAAATTTTTAAGAATTGTGATGTTATATTTTAAATAAACATATAATATATATAAACTGTGGAACTGTCCGAAGCCATGTCGATGTTAATTAATGCCAATTAAGATAACTTCACACTTGACTTCGTAGGACCCCTACATATACCTGGTCAATTAACAGTGTCCAGTTGTTTCTTCACGTCATGTTTGTATATTACCGCGCATTGCATAAGAGGCCAGTCATGTGTCAAATTGATTATCAGCGATGCGTGTTTTTTTTGTTTGTTTTTTTTTTATGCCCCCGCCATGTAATGGCCGGGGCATATAGTGTTACCCTGTTCCGTCATTCCGTCCTTCCGTCCTTCCGTCATTCTGTCATTCCGTCATCATCAGTTTCCGTTCATTATCTTAAGAACGGTTGCACACATTCAACTCAAATTTGACATATGGATATGTCATGAGAAAATACAGGTCAAGTTCGAATTTGGTCATGGTTCGATGATTTTTGGCAGAGTTATGCCCCTTTTACTTTGAAAATAATATGAAATTTCAGTTTCCGTTCATTATCTCCCCAACGGTACAACACATTCAACTCAAACTTGACATATGGATGCGTCAAAGGAATGCGCAGGTCAAGTTCAAATTTGGTCATGGTTCAATGATTTTTGGCAGAGTTATGCCCCTTTCACTTTGAAAGTAATATGAAATTTTCAGTTTCCGTTTATTATCTCCCCAATGGTACAACACATTCAACTCAAATTTGACATATGGATATGTTTTTGGAATGCCCAGGCCAAGTTCGAATTTGGTCATGGTTCAATGATTTTTGGCAGAGTAATGCCCCTTTCACTTTGAAAATAATATGAAATTTACAGTTTCTGTTCATTATCTACCCAACAGTGTTACATATTCAACTTAAATTTGACATATGGATATGTCAAAGGAATGGGCAGGTCAAGTTGGAATTTGGTCATGGTTTGATGATTTTTTTGGCAGAGTTATGTCCCTTTCACTTTGAAAATGATATAGATACATCTTAGGAATAAGCAGTTTAAGTTTGAATTTGGTTGTAGTTCAATGATTTAAGACAAACTTATCTTTCCTGAATGTTGGAAAAATTTTGAACTTTCAGTTTCAGCACTCTTACTTTTAGCCATTATTTTGGCTACAAATATGCAATATGCTATTTTTAAAAGGTTTAGACTGAATAATTTCAGTGCCTTGAACATTGTATGAAAATGGTTTGTGTTAACATTGAAAAGTTTTAAGGGCTTTGAACTTAAAATGAAAAAAATAATTAATGCACCATCTGAAATTTTGGCTGCATGCGGGGGCATCCGTGGCATGATGACACATTTCTAGTTCTAAATTGTGTTATATACAGAACAAAATACTGTTAATTATGACATTGCCTACTGGTGGTTTTATTTAATTATTGAATGCTTATAATTATAGGCCTCATATTGAAGTACAAATGTATTTCTGCATATGAAATCATGGGATTGATGCCCCAATGTTTACAAAATCATGTAATGGGTGCTTGTACAACCATGGGCACCCTGCTAGGATTTATTTTAAACCCTTCACTTATAAATCTATAAGGAGTTTGATGCCACTTAACCAGTCTTCTTCCGCAGTAAAACAATTGTTGAAATTATGTATCAATAAGAGGGATTTACAGACACGGATTATTCTAAAAATAGATTCACTGATAATAAATGCACATAGCAACAGTTGCAGGTCGGACAAACTTTTTGTTCTGTTACCAGTCCTATAGTATTTATGTTACTTTCAGTGTGGAGTCAATGAGAAAATTAAAAGTTTAAATTAATTTTACAGTATATATGTAAGAAATGTTAATTCCGAACATAAATGCTTTGGGTAGGGTATGCCCATTATTGAGAGATCAATATGTGCGAATTAAAATTTAAGAGTATTTTAATTGTCAATAAAAGAACTCATACTTTTTCGATTTGGTTATTTTGAAGAAATCTCATTGGCCATAAAAGATAGTACTAAAACAAACAATACCTAATAATAATTATTATTCTTGTACAGGATTTTTTTCCCAGCAAAAAATATCCTCTGAATATCCGTCATAGGTCATTGGTTATAATTTTGAAACCTGTCCCACCTTTTAATGTGCCCCCCACTTTAGGGGGGCATTTAGATTTACCCTTGTCTGTCCGTTCACATTTTGTGTCTCACGTAGCTCAAAAAGTATTTGACCTATAGTCCTGAAACTTCACAGGAATGTTGCTCAGCATGTGTTGTTGTGCACCCGGGTATTTTCGTGTGGATTTATTAAGTATTTTTAGAGTTATTGCCCTTCACTTAGTAAAAGTTTGCAATTTTCAACTTGTGTCGCAGGTAACTCAAAAAGTATTTGACCTAGAATCATGAAACCTTGCCTGAATATTGATCAGCATGTGAAGTTGTGCACCTGGGGTTTCGCTTGTGGATTTATTCTGTTTTGTAAGTTATTGCTCTTGACTTAGGAAAAAATTGCAATTTTCAAATTGTGTCACATGTAGATCAAAAACCTAGGGTTATAAAAACAGTGACAAAACAGTGGAGTGTGGGGGCACCCGTGTCCTATGGACACATTTCTAGCATTTGATTTGATCATTAATATGTATTTATAAAATTAATAAGTCTGAGCATTCAATTTCAATTGAGTTGACTTCTATAATTTTTCCATATAAACAATTCTGATTCAGAGGATATTTGTTAAACCGCTTGTTAAAATTTACTTTTTTACAAAGGAAATTTTAACATTTCTTTGATTTAAAATCAAATTTTTGATGAGAAAAAAATTAAACATACTTTTGTGCCCCCACTTTAGGGGGGGGGGGTGCATTAAGATATTAAGATTTACCCTTGTCAGTCCATCCGTCGGTTTGTCTGCACAATAACTTAAGATTTGACCCATAGTCTTCATATTTGGAATTTAGATTGGTCATGATTAATAGATGATCCCTATTTGCTTTTGAGGTCACCAGGTCAAAGGTCACGGGGGCCTTGACTAAAAAAAGCTTGTCCACCCAATAACTTAAGATTCCTTTGACCCACAGTCTTCATATTTTGCACAGAGGTTAGTGACAGGTATAGATTTTGAGGTCAAAGGTCAAGGTCACAGGGGCCTTGACTAAAAAAAGCTTGTCAACCCAATAACTTAAGACTCCTTTGACCCACAGTCTTAATATTTGGCCTGGAGGTTAGTCATGATTAGTAGATGATCCCTATTGATTTTGAGGTCACTGGGTCAAAGGTCAAGGTCACAGGGGCCTTGTCTAAAGAGGCTTGTCTGCCCAATAACTTAAGATTCCTTTGACCCACAGTCTTCATATTAGGCATGGAGGTTGATCATGACCATTAGGTGACCCCTATCGATTTTAAGGTCACTGTTCAAATGTCAAGGTCACAGGGGCCTTGACTAAAAAAGCTTGTCCGCTCAATTAAGAATGCTTTGGTCAACAGTTTTCATATTTAGTATTGAGGTTGTTTATGCCTAGTAGATGACCCCTATTAAGTTTAAGGTGACTGTGTCAAAGGTCAAGTTCACAGAGACTTTACTATGAAAAGGTTGTCTGCTCAAATGCTTAAGAACGCCTGTCCACAGTGTATTGATTTTGACATTTGAAGCATGTAGAATACATAACTTAGCCATGCTTAGTAACGTCAGATTTGGCAGAGAGGTTGTCCTTGAGCTCTAAATGGCCACTGTTGATTCTGACAAGTGGTATGTGGGGGGATTTACGCCATGACAGTGGCAGTTCTAGTTTTAACTGACCCATATCTTAAAATTAATTCACCCTTAATAAAAACATTTTCTAAACATAATTGATAAAAGACACCTAAAGTTATTTTTCTTTTGGTAAACATTGAAAGTATGAGGCTACAAATGTATAAAAAAAAAAAGTTCACTTTTCCAAAATAATTTCAAAATAAATTCTAACATCTATATTGTAGACATATCTTATAGTCAAAAGGAAAATGCTCTTTTCAAAATTTAGCATTAAGAGTATCATTTTCTAAGAGTTTATAGTGTACATTCTAGTATGTGTAGCACACTGTTTGTCTGACTTTTCTGATAATGTGTTAGTGTGTATCACGTGATACATATAACAGGTATTGATGACCTAGTTGTAAATCCCTCCTATGGTTGATAAACTGATCCTTAAAGTCTTAAACAATACTGTAGCAGTATTCTATAGAGAATTATTCCTTTTTCTTCATTTTAGAATGGATTGGTTAGCAGAGCAGTGCAGGAGAATCCAGGAGCAGAAATTGAAGCAAGAAAGGTCTATTAGATATTTAAAACAACTGTTCAAAGCATGGTGAGTGTAATATATATAATTCTTATGTAAGCTATATATATATATATATATAAATGACGGTAACCAATAAGGTAAAGAGGGAAAGCATTATATTTATGGATAAAGAATTTGCATGCACTGAGAGTTGTGTGTAGCCTGTGTATTTAGGCAAGCTGGTAATTCCTTACTTTTGCATGAGGGTATGTAAGATCTTCCTCTTAATGTGAAGCAAAAAAAAAAATTCACAAAGGTCTACCCTTGTTTTTGTTGGTTTTACTGTAAAATGCAAGCATTTACAACAAATGTACGAGACTGAAATGACAGATTTGAATAATATTAAGTTCATGATAAGATATATATTTATGACAATATGTTTGTATATGTAATGATCTGCCATTTATACATTGTAATTAATTGACAGGCCAGTCAAAGCTGAACTAGAAGAAGAGAAATCTGAGAGACAGACAGCTTCAAATAGAGGTAAATAGTATGTGTATGTGAAATGATTTTACAGTGATTTCTATATTTATATAATTGTATTGAAGATCATTATTGAAAATCATTTAATTTACTAACACTAACCCTTGCCCTTTTTGTGAGATATGCTTATACATGTACATTAAATTGGTACCCATTCTGTTAGCTAAAATATTTGGTTTCTATTAACTTGTTAAGCATTATTTAAAAGGATGTGTTAAGATGGGTCCTCATCCTGTACAATAGTGAAATTATAACATAACAATATGACAAAACTATTCCACAAAGACTCTAGTGTCAGGCATATAATTTTCTGGTACAGATGGTTATTCCATTATTTTGTTTTGTGTAGTAACGGGAGAACCTTATTTTAATTACAAAGGTCAAGAACTGGCTCTGTTGCACATAAGTAAAATTCCAACATAAGTGAATTCCAACATAAGTTTAATCCAATACTTTTAGGCATAACATTTTAGTTATTGAGTTTAACTTTTCATGTCATGCAAAACTCAACACTTCTGGAAGAAAATATGCACATGTTGTAAAAAGAAGTGAACATTTTACAACTGGTTATGCCTGTTAAATCATACTGTTTGACAGAAAATCCGTTTGAGGTAAGATTGACAATTAAGAATAATTTATGATTTTGACAGTAAAGAAGAATGATGAGCTTGAGAATAGTGATGACAGGTTAACAGCAGAAGAAAAGGAAGGATTATTAATGATGGATCAGTTGTTGTCAAAAGCACAAAAAGCTAGGGACTTACAGAAAAAGGTAACAGCAAATTTAAGACTAAAGACAAAAATTATGTAGACTTTTGCTTCAATTTTCATATCACATAAATTATGATCTTTGTACATTTTTAGCTTGACTATTATATTTATAAAATATGAAGAGCTATTCTATTCACTTAAACAATAAAATTTCTCTTCATAGAGTATCTCTACACTATAATTGTTTCACAAATTTGATATTTTGCAAATTAAGGTTTACAGCTTAATCTGAATTTATGTAACTTGTTTTATTAATTTATTCTCGGCACCCAGCTTGAAGAGCCCAAAAAGCCAAAGACTATTCAAAGTGTAAAACAGAAGACCAAAATTGACCATGACTTAAACCAAAATGACAAAACTGGAATGGAAACTGGTGATAAGAAAGAATTACAAAAGAGGTTACAAGAAGTTGAAATTGTCGGCAATGTTCAAACATCTAAAGTGCCTCAAGAGATAACACATCATGCAAATGCACCTGCTAAAAATAAGCCTGTTAGTTGTGGAAAACCACAAGGTAAAGGACAAAACAAAGCTAACCTTGTTGAAAAGATTGAAAGACCAAAAATATCTCAAAGACCCCAAAGCAGCTCTGGTACAAGGAAAGTAGTACCGGTTCATGTAAATGCTCCTTTCCAAACCAATCCAAACTTAAGGTCTTCAAAGTTACAGACAACCTATAAAGCAGCAACTGCTAAAACATTATCTAAATCTCGTGGTGCTGGAAGTGCAGGCAGTAGGGCAAGAGATGCAAAAGGGAGTGAAAGAAAGGAGACAGTGGCCAGTAGGTTTAAATCTATTAAAACTGAAGATGAAAATGTAAAACGTAAAAACTTACCAGAAGTTGATCAGCAAATAGATTACAGTGTTAAAATGGATGCTGATGTTTGTAAAGAAACAGAGAATTCTTTAAATATGAATTGTAACAATGATGTCGAATTTCTCAAGTTAGATGCTATTTCTATTGAAGACAGTCAAGATACATCAGCAGGTAATAAATGTCATGGTAGTGAAGACAAAGACAGTGATGAATTATTTTTCCTGAAGAAAGATGGGTAAGTTGGATTTACTGAACATGCAAAAAGGTAAAGGATTCGAGGCTGGAATTACAATTATTATTTATACTGCTATAGTGTTTTAGAAATATGTTTTGGGTTCAATTTTGTAAATGCAGTTTGGAAATAAAAAAATCAGCCGTTTCAAATATTAGTTACTTAATTTTTTTTTTATATGCATATGTATGGTTTCAGATTTTTTTATTAACCATTCTATTAAGAATAAGATTGAATATTGAAGCTTTTATATGTTGTAATAAGTAAATTTGATGAAATATATATATTTTTTAGTGCTCACCTGAGTGTTCCTGCCAGACTGAAAAAATTGGTATACCAAAATAGGAAGTTTCGTCAGAAATTGTATGCACAAACTGTCACTCAGAAAGTCAGAACTCCTCATGCATCTGCAGATTTCCCGCAATGTCTTCAATGTGCTGTATGTATTTTCTTAATAAGACTGCCTTTAATCTTTTTTGTGCCCCCACTGTAGGGGAGGGGGGAGGGGAGCATTTAGATTTACCATTGTCCATCAATCTGTCCGTCCATCCATTCTCTTTTGTGTCTCAATAGACCTAGAATCCTGAAACTTTATAGGAATATTAATCAGCATGTGTAGTTGTGCACCTGAGTGTTTGTATGTGGATTTATTAAATATTTGTACAGTTATTGCCCTTGACTTTGTAAAAATTTTGCAATTTTCAACTTGTGTTGCACATAGCTAAAAAATTATTTGACGTAGGGTCATGAAACTTTACATGAATGTTGCTCAGCATGTGATGTTGTGTACTTGAGGTTTCAATTGTTGATTTATTCTGTTTTGTCAGAGCTATAGCCCTTGACATAGTAAAAATTTGCTATTTTCATCTTGTGTTGTGCATAGCTAAAAAAATATTTGACTTATAGTAATGAAACTGCGCACGAATATTGATAAGCATGTGAATTTGTGCTGCTTTGTCTGAGTTATTTTTCAACATGCGTCACACGTAGCCCAAAAACATTTAACCTTGAGTCATTAGATTGACAAAACAGTGGAATGTACGGACACCTGTATCCTATGGACACATTTCTAGTTTATTTATTTAAGTGCAAAGCTCTGTATAAAAAATTATGGTAGCTTAATAAATAATAAATATTCTTAAAAGTATGTTTCCCATTATTGAATCTTTTTGTTGAGGTCCATCTTCTCAAAACTATCAGTTTTCACTTCAAACTTGATATACATGTTAACTGTCAAAATATGATACCATGTAAGAGTTAGATAACCTGAAATTATTTTTGCAAATTTTTGGCACTATTTTACATATTGTTACTTTTTCTAAGGTCAATTTTCAAAGATTGTCAAACTTAATTAGTACAAACTTTTAATGTCCAATTTTTAAATTGTAATGCATTAAAGATATATACTTCAAACTTGAAATGTTTATTGACTAACAAGGGCAGGTAAGTCTGTTTAGAATTTTTGCAGAATTATGTCCCAATTTCTTGAAAGTGGAGTGTTCTATCTGCAGAATAATAGGTTAAGATAAAAGCTAGTGAATTATGTGTAGGTAATATTATCATTGCTTTGCAAATAAGATTCGATCTTTTATAGGTAGTGTTATCTTTTGTTATTTTGAGTGTTAGCATATTTTAAAGACTTCAGTGCTTGTTTAAGCATGCTACTGTAAGTTAAAAGTGAGGACAAAATTATTATTTATGAAAACCAAATTAAGATATTCAAAGTAGTATATCAGCATGATATTATGCTTGTACACATGTATTTGAAATATATTTGTATCTTTAGTTTGGAGACGAGGCTGATCAACAAATCCAGCTTCAAGCTAAACAAGCTCAACATATAACATCTACATATACTAGTCTTTTACATATGATGGACAACTTACATCTTGATCATATATCAGGTAAACTATCTTTTCTTTTTATCTACATATTTGAATTGTTTATAATAATATGTGACAGACATTTACTTGTACTACATTAGTCAATTGAGTAGGTTAACATTGTGTTGTGATAGTAAAGCCTGTGATGTTAAAAACATTTTTAAATCATGTATTTGAAGAATTAAGTGAGCTATTATACTCACCCTGGCATTGATGTCATGCTTTGGTCAAGTTTTTGGGTTGGTATCTACAAATGGGTTGAATCTTCACACACTTTGAAAGTATTGTTGCATCACTACCCAATATAAAGTTACATAGACTTTGACAGAATTATGGTATTTTATGAACTTAGGAAATTAGACATTATCCAGGCTCTTGTTTTACTATCAACGCCTGAGAATGGACATGCTGGCTGTCCTACCAACAGCTCTTGTTCATTAAAAATTTGCTTGAGTGTAAATAATGGTAATATATTTGTATTTCAGTTGATTCTGACCCTGCAGACATTTACTATTGTAAGAAAATGGTTGAACATATTCTACTCACCTTCCAGGAGTTGGAACAAAACTTGCACACATCAGACTTCAGTAAGTCACTCTATAATTATAGTACCCTGACCAGTTTTTACAATCTGATATTTTAAGCCACATACAGCCAGGTATTGCCAAGGATCATATAGGAAAAATAATGAGCTGTTGCCTTGGTGTAAATTTTGCCTATATTGCAAAGAAAAATGAAAAACTTATTTTACCCAAAATGATCATTTACAAAGTTATGTTATGAAACAATTGAAACTATTGGAGGATAAGGGCTTGGTTATCAAAAATTGTATGTGGTGTTTTATAAATATTTGTTGTCTATAAATCTGGAATGTTTTGAAGGTTTTAATCTGTAATCAGTTTCAGTTAATATTAAATATTATTAAATTTCAAGCTTAAAAGAAAATAAGGCATCACTAAATCTGATTGTCCTTAACATATGAAAAGTTGCAAGAAGTTGATAAATGAAATGATTTGCTGTTACATATCAGTCTCATATATGCTGTTTTATATGCAGAGAATGTTTTATGAAAATTATTGTTATAAGGTATGAGGTTGTATAACTGATATAATATACTTATAATCAGGAATGTTAAGCAGTGTAGTGACACCTTCGACTAGATCAATTAAGTTACCCCAGGCACGGCCTAGTGGAATGTCAGTCTGGTATGAGAAAAACATATTAACAGGTAACTATGAATTCTGTAGCTTCTTGGACTTTTGTTTGCCTGAAACCTGAATGTGTCTTTACCCAGTAGCCAAGCATTAACTTGTTAAGCACAGGAGAGCCTAGTTATTGTTGAAAATCTTATGGAAACTATGTTCTATGGCATTATCTTTCATAGGCAGCTCAGATACTATTAACTGTTATGTATGGATTTTGTGACACCAGCATTTTTTCTTTAGGACAAAATCTTAAGCTCATAAGGACAAAATCAAAATGGTAAAATTTCTATTTATTAAATCAGACTTTGTGTGTTCAAGTGAATCATCTTTCATGACCTATATTAATCATAGTTATATGCAACTTATAAGGGTGTATGAAAGATGTGCCAGTGTTAAATTACATTTGTAATTAAGATTAAACCATTACTAAAATATGTTACAGTATTTAAGAAGAAAAAGTATTGATTAATTATAAAAGACATTTACGTAGATGATATGATTTACAGGCAACCATTGCTCTTCAAAAGTATTCCAATATGGAAGTTACAAGTTGCTAGAGAGGTACATGGATATAGTTTATCAAGTTCAGTTACTCCAGTTACAAATTGATGTCATGGATACCGTGTCTAGGTTACTGTTACCATTGCTACACACTCTTGATCCTTCTACAAGGTAACCACTTACAAAAGTTTTAATTTGTGTATCAGAAATTGCAAATTGTCCTTCCATCACTAAATTAGTTTAAAAGTACAGCAAGTGCTATTGCTGGTAAAATAATCACATCAAAGAACATGTTAATTTCAAAAATTGATATAAGAAATTCTGCATTATCAGGCAACATTGTTTCTTTTCTTCATTTGAGTATTTTTTAGCTCACCTATTTGATAAGAATAAGTACAGCTATTGAAGTCACCCGAGCGTCGGCGTTGGCGTAACCACTTATGTTAAAGTTTTTGAAATAGTTTAAATATTTTCAAAGTCCATTGACATATGGCTTTGCACACTTGTTTACCATCATTACCTCAACCTGTAGACAGGAGGAGGTAACTCTATCAAGCATTTTGACAGAATTATGCCCCTTTTTAGCTTGACTATACGAAGTATATGGAGAGCTGTCCTACTCGCCCCGGCGTCCGCGTCCAGATTTCAGATTTAAGTTTTGGTGCAGTAAAATATTTTTCACTATAACTTTGTCAACTTTGTTTTTTAAGGTATCAACTTCAAATTTGAAATATATGTTCCTCATCATCAACCACATCTTATGTGACAAGGTTCATAACTCTAGCACCAATATTTTCAGATTTATCTCCCCTTGAACTTAGAATTTTCCTCAAAAAATACTATTTTTTACTGTTACTTCTTTATATGTTAAGGGATCAACCTCATACTTCAAATATATGTACCTTATCATCATCCCCATCTTATGTGACAAGGTTCATAACTCTAGCACCAATATTTTCAGATTTATCTCCCCTTGAACTTAGAATTTTCCTCAAAAAATACTATTTTTTACTGTTACTTCTTTATATGTTAAGGGATCAACCTCATACTTCAAATATATGTACCTTATCATCATCCCCATCTTATGTGACAAGGTTCATAACTCTAGCACCAATATTTTCAGATTTATCTCCCCTTGAACTTAGAATTTTCCTAAAAAAATACTATTTTTTACTGTTACTTCTTTATTTGTTAAGGGATCAACCTCATACTTCATATATATGTATGTTATCATCATCCCCATCTTATGTGACAATGTTCATAACTCTAGCACCAATATTTTTCAGATTTATCTCCCCTTGAACTTAGAATTTTCCTAAAATTTGTAAAAAAATACTATTTTTTACTGTCACTTCTTTATTTGTTAAGGGATCAACCTCATACTTCAAATATATGTACCTTATCATCATCCCCATCTTATGTGACAAGGTACATAACTCTAGCACCAATATTTTCAGATTTATCTCCCCTTGAACTTAGAATTTTCCTTGAAAAATATTATTTTTTTACTATAACTTTTTTAGATTTAAAGGTATCTACCTCAAACTTCAAATACTTATTCGTTATCATCAATTACATTTTATGTGACAATGTTCATAACTCTTGAAGCAATATTTACAGATTTATCTCTCTTTGAACTTAAGATTTTCTTTAAAAAAATATTATAACTTCTTTACTTTTTAAGGTATCTACTTCAAACTTCAAATATATATTTCTTATCATTACACACATGTTGTGTGACAAGGTTCATAACTCTAGTGTGACTATTTATAGAATTATTCCCCTTGATCTTGGAATTTATGTTAACAAATGTTTTTTTACTATAACTTAATACATAATTATACATAATTGATTTTTCTTTCATAGTTTTGTCCTCCTTACTGCGTCCAGTATTTTATTAGTCGAGCTTCGCTGTCTCCTGTGACAGCTTTTGTTCAACTTAGAATTTATGTTAAAGTTTTTGTAATACCTCAAATATTTTCAAAGTCCATTGACATATTGCTTTGAAACTTTGCACACTTGTTCACCATCATTATCCCAACCTGTAGACAGGAGGAGGTAACTCTATCAATTATTTTGACAGAATTATGCCCCTTTTTAGCTCGACTATTCGATAAGAATAAGTAGAGCTATTGCAGTCACCCGAGCGTCGGCGTAACCACTTATGTTAAAGTTTTTGTAATAGTTCAAATATTTTCAAACTTTGCACACTTGTTCACCATCATGACCCCAACCTGTAGACAGGAGAAGGTAACTCTATCAAGCATTTTGACAGAATTATGCCCCTTTTTCGACTTAGAATTTACGTTAAAGTTTTTGTAATAGTTCAAATATTTTCCAAGTCCATTGACATATTGCTTTGAAACTTTGCACACTTGTTTACCATCATGACCCCAACCTGTAGACAGGAGGAGGTAACTCTATCAAGCATTTTGACAGAATTATGCCCCTTTTTCGACTTAGAATTTACGTTAAAGTTTTTGTAATAGTTCAAATATTTTCAAAGTCCATAGACATATGGCTTTGAAACTTTGCACACTTGTTCACCATCATGACCCCAACCTGTAGACAGGAGAAGGTAACTCTATCAAGCATTTTGACAGAATTATGCCCCTTTTTCGACTTAGAATTTACGTTAAAGTTTTTGTAATAGTTCAAATATTTTCAAAGTCCATAGACATATGGCTTTGAAACTTTGCACACTTGTTCACCATCATGACCCCAACCTGTAAACAGGAGGAGGTAACTGTATCAAGCATTTTTTTTTCTATCAAGCACTAAGAATAGTCGAGCGTTGCTGTCCTACCGACAGCTCTTGTTCAACTTAGAATTTATGTTAAAGTTTTTGTAATACCTCAAATATTTTCAAAGTCCATTGACATATGGCTTTGAAACTTTGCACACTTGTTCACCATCATGACCCCAACATGTAGACAGGAGGAGGTAACTCTATCAAGCATTTTGACAGAATAATGCCCCTTTTTCGACTTAGAATTTATGTTAAAGTTTTTGTAATACCTCAAATATTTTCAAAATTCATTGACATAAGGTTTTGAAATATGTTCAATTTGTATACTCTTCTTTGAGAGCATAATAGGACTCTCTCCAAGGCCAATAACTGTAATATGGATTTAAAGAAAAATTTTGCCTTTTTCTTTACTTAGAAAATTTTACCTTTTAATCAAGGCTTTTTTACTATCAGGCACTAAGAATAGTCGAGCGTTGCTGTCCTATCAAAAGCTCTTGTTTAGTTAATGTGATTGATCATTTAAACGTGATTAAAATTGTATGTTTCAGTGAATTTGCTCGTGTGTTGAGAGCTGGGTACTCATTGATGTCAATCAACCGTAACAATCAGCCAGTGATTGTCAAGGACACAATACAAGATGAATCCACATTGCAACATGAAGATTAACAAGTTTATGGTATAGTTTATAGCTTGTAGGAAATCTCGGGAAACAATATTTTTATGCCTGTGATATATGCAATATTGTATTGCAAGTTGGTGTTTACATGGGATGTTATGGCATTAACTGTAAATCTAAAGAGATGTCACAAACAGAGCTGCATCAGTACTAAGGGTGTAGTACTTAAGTACCAGTACCAGTACTTGGCAAATTATGCAGTACCATTACCAGTACCAGTACTAGATTTTAGCTCGGCACTGCAGTACCAGTACTTTTTTTGGTGAAGTAATTAAGTATCAGTACCATTACTTTTATATATTCATCAAAGTTTGAATAAATACAGTCTCAAACAAATAATTTCAAATATTATTCAGCAAAGAAATAAAATCATTTACTTTAAAGTTAACATAACATATTTACAACTTTATGGTTTTAACATACTTTTTACAAACAATATTTACAACATATATTCATGTCATATCTAATTGTTTAGTAACCAGTCAAGTGTATAAATACAACATAAACATCTTTCATTTAAAACACAACAGTCTTTTGTTGCCTTTCACACCTCTGTTCAATTTATACCAAAGTAAATGACAACTTTTTATGGTGCTAACAATGTCACTTTTTTCACTTGAAATGGGATTATTTAGAATAGAAGAAATTAATTACTGTTTATTTTGCTCTTTTACTAGTAAATACAAAGTAATAAAAGATTTTAATAAGGATGTTTTAGGGTAAAGAGTTATTGAGTCTGTTTATTTACTTAAAGTCTTTGGTGCTTTTTATGATGAATTCTATGTTAACATTTGAAGGAATATTGCAGCAAATTATCTTTAGATTTGATAACTTACTTTTTCACAAAAATAAAATATAGTTAATGTAATTTACAGCTTTATTTTATGAGGAAAATTGATGCTATTTTTAATTTCTATCAAAACCAAAAGTACTGGGTAATGCAGTAGCAGTACCACTTTTTAAGACAGTAATGCAGTACCAGTACCAGTAGTAGCAAAATTTTGTAAGAGTAATTCAGTATCAGTACCAGTACTTGCAAAATTGCTGCAGTACGTACTGCAGTACCAGTACCAGTAATGCAGCTCTGGTCACAAAATGTTGCCTATACATTTATTTAATTGATCTGTTCTTTATATGATTTTTTTTAATCAGGGATTGTGTAGCATCACATGTTTTTTTTTTGTTATTTTTGTTGTTTTTAACTTTATGAAATTTGCAGAATGTTCAGCTCAGTTAATTGTTTGGTACTATACTCTGTTGAATATTAATTTTAAACTCTTGTAAGTGATTTTTAGTATTGCTTTTAATATAATGTATTCAGACATCTTGTTCTGTGCCCCCTTGTCTCCCAGATTTCCACTTCTTTCTCAATATTTTATTGGTGCGTCTCCAATGTGACATGATTAGTGGCTGCCTTATGCTGAAGTCTCAATCTAAAAACAAATGATTACTAAATTGTTACAGGATTTTGTATTTTGGTTAAGTGTATTAAATTGCCAAATACTACAGGTGTTTTGGAATGCCTTTTAGTCATGAATGACCATGACCAATCAAAAAATGTTCTACCCTTTCTTTGAATATATTTAAAGCCTAAATTTGATCAGACAAAATACTCAACTTGATCTGAAAACAACACTTTTTAGTCAAAGTTGAGTTAAAGTTTTAAGGTAACTTTATTGAACTTTAAATGATATTTTCAAAAAGCACTTAAGCATATCTTGGGGAGATGTATTGGTTTAATGGTATATGTATCTTATTTGGATGAGCTTTTTTACTCTATTTGTACCTTGTCATAATTGCATGACTACAACAACAATAACAACCCAGTAATTGTAAAAGCTCAACTGTTTCTTCAAAACAGATGAGCTAAGAAAGTGAAATTAAATATTTAAATGAACATTTTAAATTTGACACCACATCTATAAACAGAAACAATAATAGAAGTTTTGACAAGCATGTAACTTTGTATCTCCCTTTCAGAAAAAAATAAGTATAAAAATTATGTGAATTTTCTTCGTGATGATGTTTTCTTCTATCAATCTTGCAAGCCTTCCTAGATCTTTCTGTTGTCTCTGCATAGTAAATAAGTTTTTGATCATCATTCAATATTATAATCAAAATTGAGAATGTATCATATTCACTTCATCATTGGTAAAGTTCCAACTACAGTGTAATTTACAATAACAAAATCCACCTTTACAACTTGTCCTTTCCAGCATTGGTTTGCCGGTTACATTTACATATTCTTCACCTCTCTGGTGCTTTCGTTTTCTTATATTCTTTCCACATTGTTTCTCATCTCGCACTTTTCGTAGAACTTTTTGGTTGACCTTCTGGGATATTCACCCTTAAATCCAATGGTTCAACTAACAGATAATCAGGAATATTATCACCAATATTATTAATATTTTCATTCCTGGGATCACTTAATTCCTTTAAGTTATCAAATGAATTTAGTTTCTCAATGTTGTTTGCATCTATGACAATGCACCCATTCATTTGTTCTATTTCAGATGGTGACAAGTCTCCTGAATTGTAAATAGTTATTTCAATTGTTTCAGCATCCTTGGAATCAGCATTTTGAACACTTCATTCTCACTTTCCTTAGTTTTGCTATTAGTAAAATACTCAAGTATTGTTACTACAAATATTTCATGTTCACTTTCTTCCTGATAAGTAGTCTGTATTTTGTTTTCCTAATTTTCAATGTTTATATATTCTATCATTTCTGGTTCGGGTTCACTACAATCACCTTTATGAACTGAGTTTATTATCAAATTCTTTAAGCAAGCATAGAGCTTTTCTTAATCCAAAGCACTCCATGGTGGTGTCCAGAAAGCAACTTACAGTTGAAATGGGAGGGCCTGTGCAAATTTGTTCAAGAGATAGGTAGTTCGAGCCAACCAAGGTTGAACTACTATCACGTAGGGCATAGGCTAAATGTTTTCCACCTTACATTGGTCAAATGATAAATACATCAATATTATTGTTTGTTACTACATCAGTTTGTCAAATACGTCATTTCTTTTAAATATTAAGAATTATTATTCCAGTGTTCTCAATTGAGTATTAATAATCTATACACTGTATTAATCTATATTCATGCATATTGCCATTGGTTGAGTTCGATTGGGAAATCATTTTCCAAACTTGTTGAACAATATTTTTATTATGGGATAATTTTATTTGAAACAATGAATGAAAAAATTATATAAAAACAAATTACAGCAGCATCTATTTCTAGTCAATTTACTTAAATAAACACACGTACAATTATCATTTTATAAATAGATAGCACTATTACAATTCACGTTACATGCACCAAGACTGTAACTGTCTGGGTAAACGTCATTTATTTATTGACATTTGCACATTTCACTTACTTCACTGACGTAAATTTGTTCGAGATTCAAACACTTGTTCAGTACAACAAAGTCCTCGTCCACTAGCAGTTGACATGAGCCAAGATCCAATACACGTTAATTTGGAGCTTCATTCAAACAAGACAATGTTGATATAGGTGAGTTACTCAGATTTAAATGATCTAGGTTTTTAAACGATGCTTTTGAGAAAAGCCAATCGATTTCAGGAGTTGAACAAAGAAACTCTGTACCTGGAACAAAACAATCCACTATACGATTGAAATGCTTTAAGATCCTTTTCAAACTGTTTTGATCTAGATTAAAATAGTTAAGCTTTAAGAATTTGAAATGTCACCATAAAACGGAGTTATTGTCGATAATCCAGTTGAATCTTTGACACACTTTATTTACAGTTTGAAGAAGCTCATGTAAATCTAAGTACATGAATATTTGTATGATGACATAGTCTGGTAAGTCATATAGGTGTGAATTGAAATGAAAAAGAAAGTATGTGTGTACCAGGAGGATTATTTACCCGATGCGGACTTAGACCAATAGCTTGACCCCAAGACTAACCAGGCGGATGAAATACATATTTAGGCATATATATTCTATACACAGCACTGTGACATGTTGTATATTGTATAAGCAACTACCTCTTTTAATTATATATAATCAGTCGAACCCTGCAATTCCTAAACCTAAAATATTTATCTGTTTAAAAATGTAAAAACTCTGCTCACAATAATGATAAATTGTTTGATAAATGATTTTCAAAATGATAAGAGTTTATCAGAATTTGTGCGACATCCGTATTTAGTACACAATCAAGATGGGAAAAATGATACCAAATATGAAATTTTCAAAGTTTAACCTTCGATTGTGTTTGAATAGGTCTACTTCTTGGAGAATTCAGTAATGGTGACAAAGGTGGTGATATATTAAAAACCAAAGTGTCAATATTCTGTCTGAATTTTATATTAGTTAGTAGTGATACTTCTTTCTTAGATGTAGGTATGGTGTTGACGTTTTTATACCCCCACAAACGAAGTTTAGGGGGGGTATATAGGAGTCAGCTTGTCGGTCGGTCGGTCGGTCCGTCGGTCGGTCCACATCATGGTTTCCGGACGATAACTAGAGTTTGGAATGAGGTATTGTAATCAAACTTGGTATATAGCAACCTTATGTGGAAACTCCGGTTGGTATTGCATTTGGACCCCCTGGGGTCAAGGTCAAGGTCACCGTTACTAAAAATAGAAAAATGGTTTCCGGACAATAACTAGAGTTAGGAATGAGATATTGTTATCAAACTTGGCCTATAGCAAGCTTATATGAAGACCTGGGTTGGTATTGCATTTGGGCCCCCTGGGGCCAAGGTCAAGGTCACCGTTACTAAAAATAGAAAAATGGTTTCTGGACAATAACTTGACTTAGGAATGAGATACTGTAATCAAACTTGGTGAATAGCAAGCTTATATAAAGACCTGGGTTGGTATTGCATTTGGACCCCCTGGGGTCAAGGTTAAGGTCACCATTACTAAAAATAGAAAAATGGTTTCCAGACAATAACTTGACTTAGGAATGAGATACTGTTATCAAACTTGGTGTATAGCAAGCTTATATGAAGACCTGGGTTGGTATTGCATTTGGACCCCCTGGGGTGAAAGTCAAGGTCACCGTTACGAAAAATAGAAAAATGGTTTCCAAACAATAACTTTACTTAGGAATGAGATATTGTTATCAAACTTGGCGTATAGCAAGCTTTTATGAAGACCTGGGTTGGTGTTGCATTTGGGTCTACTGGGGTCAAGGTCAAGGTCACCGTTAGGAAAATAGAAAAATGTTTTTCTGACTATAACTAGAGTTAGGAATGAGATACTGTAATCTAATTTGGTGTAAAGGAAGCTTATATGAAGACCTGGGTTGGTATTGCATTTGGACCTCCTAGGGTCAAGGTCACCGTTACAGTGTTACTAAAAATAGAAATATGGTTTCCGGACAATAACTAGAGTTAGGAATAAGATATTGTTATGAAACTTGGCGTATAACAAGCTTATATGAAGACCTTGGTTGGTATTGCATTTGGGCCCCCTGGGGTCAAGGTCAAGGTCACCATTACAAAAAATAGAAAAATGGTTTTTGGACAATAACTGGAGTTAGGAATGAGATATTGTAATCTAATTTGGTGTATAGGAAGCTTATATGAAGACCTGGGTTGGTATTGCATTTGGACCCCCTAGGGTCAAGTTCACTGTTAAAGTGTTACTAAAAATAGAAAAATTGTTTCCGGACAATAACTAGAGTTAGGAATGAGATATTGTAATCAAACTTGGTGTATAGCAACCCAAGTTGCGATTGCAATTAATTGAAATATTTCTTTGTACACAGTTGATAGTTTGTCTTCAAATTTTTCTTAGACTACTTTTTTTCCAAAAAGTCAGAGTTGCTGGTGGGGGTATTAATCACCTTCAGTGATAGGTCTAGTTAACAATTGGATTTCCCAATTTTCCCCCATCACTATCCTGAATTTTTGTTTCTTTAGTAATGTTTTGCTGTGACTGCATGGAGTGGAAGGTTGTTTTTGAGATTGTTTTTCCTCAATTTTGTCGTCTTTCCTCAATTTTTATGGAAGGTTTCTTCTTTAGATCCGTGGATGTTTTTGGAGTGCCATTTTAAAGTATCATGTCTTTTATATAATTACTTACACCAAAAACACTGTTAGTAAATGAGATTCTTTGTGTCTGTAGAATTGGGAACATTATTTAGTAGAGTATCCACATATTTCCCTTAGATGTAATGTTCTAAAGTTCTTGACTAAAATTTAATTTCTGGTGTTTTTCTTGAGTAAATTCTGTCAGTTTTTTGCTACGTATTTTTCTTCCATTTATTTGATATTAAGACCTGTGTGTGATTTAGATATTAAAACTAATCCAAACTTCTTCAGTTCTTTGACATTTGTT